CAGTGAATGTTATAATATAATGCTGATGGCATTAAGTCCGCCTTTGTACATTCATGTGTGTGCATAAAGAATAAATAAATAAATAAATGTTATCTCTCCCATATTTAACAAACGAAAACATACATTAAGACAGTGGGCATTTCTAGCGTCTACGCCGCTAAAACCAAGAAATTATAAAAAAAGTCCGACGATAAACTGACCTTTAACGATAAGGCAATAACGTAAGGAGTCATAAATGGCTATAAACCTAAACCATCGTCACGTTATAAAAAGATTTTAAAATTGAAGTATGAACTGCGATGATAATATGTACTAATACGATGTAGATATCACACTAGACACCGAAAATGAGGCACCTAAATTACACCAATTTGTGTAATTACATTGTAATTTTATAGACTGCTATCTCTTTCAGTAACATACGTTCTATATCATCTGTCACATTCATATATATGATGTCATATAATTAAAAGCAGAACAATTTTTGAACGCAGTATGGACATGGGCCATCTATATTATTAAACATCATTGGTGCACTGTGCTAATAAAATTAAATAGGTTGAGAATACCACCTTCGACGAAATAAATACCTAAGCGTTTTGCATAAAAAATATTGCAAATAAAGATGACAATCAAAATTAAAACCGAAAGAATAATTTGTCGGAAATTGGAGCAGCGGTTGGGACGCATCGAAAACATAACTCTCGAGGCGATTTTTGACTGGAGATAAGGGAGCGTGGGATCGTTTCGGTCGACGGTCAAAGGGTTCCCCGGGAGGGAGCTAAAACCCCAACTCTCGCGGACCACCCCCTGCGAATTGTTACCAGTTGCGCATATTTTTTGCTTTATGAAACGAATACATCTATATTCTTCTATCGGTTATATTATACTATCGTTAAAATATTTTTTATTTTGCCTGTTGCTTCCGAACATTCATTCCGCGCAAAAGAAAAGCTGGCAAATATGAGGAAAATATCAGATGAACAAAGGCGAAGGGGAAAGATAAAATAATTTCTTCCAAGCGACTACCGCCGTCGAAATTTTGTAAAAAAATTATCGCGGCGTCCGATTAACACAATATCCTCAATATCCTTGAAGATGTCGCTCGCAAAAAGGGGCAGCAAGGGACAAAAGTCCCTGGAACATTCTTCGTCGAGGCGTGGGTCGTATGCGGGAGTGGGGTAGCCACCCTCCGTTCCTAAGCACCCCGGCGTGCGGTTCGGAGCTCTCCAACCAAGGTGTCTATAATTCATGCTTTCAAGCGGACCGAGAAAAATAAATGAGCATTACGTACTAAATGAAACAAAGGTAATTTATTGTTATGTGACACAGCCTATAACATATTGAGGCGGTGAGATGTTATGTACGCTATGTAGAATATTGGGCACAAAATAACTAATCGCCACAAATCAAACCCTATTTTTTTATTTTGCTTTGGGTCATTCATAAGACACGGATATAGTGGGTCACAAAATAATCTGTATAATGAAACTGAATGTTGTTCGTAGCTTGTTCTGCTAAAAAAGTAACTGGGAACTTACGACGTAATGGAAAACCACTAATTTTTAACTAGAATTTAATACCAGAGAAAAAAGTTGCTACAGAACAGATGTGTGTCTTACAGTATCTGGAAGCTTTCATGAAAATTTAAATGCTCATATAATTTATTGCAAATGAAAAATGATCTTATACGCGTTCTTGTATTGTCTCCGGCTGTTTAGAAATTTCCACGTCACAAGTTCAAATTCCATTCCAATGACTTGCAGAAATTGGTTATACGTTTATACCTTTATGTTCTAACTGTAGAGCTGTCCTACAATATGCTCGTTGCCAATTATTTTTTACAGGTTTGTGACCTAATATGCAGAAATAGGAATGGTCAGGATTATGTACGCCCGGATTAGAAGTATCACATAGATATTATTATCTCAGTCCATCCCGTGACCTAATGGTAAGATCCAAAGATACGAATACTTTAAAGTATATTAATACTTAAAAGTATTCGTATCTTTAGATCTTTAATCAAAAACATAAATATTAAATCCAAACATAATTTTATTACCAACATAAAATAATGTTCGTCTTCAAGCCCATTGTGTCTCTGTCTAGATACCCTATGTAACGAAAATGTCCAAAGCAAAGTACGAACGTTGGGCCATGTAATACGTCATAACATTGTATTCGCTTGTACTCTCTACAGTGTACTCGTCGGGAGGGGGAACGCCGTACACTTTTTAAGGTGCAATTAATGGGGATCGGAGTGCCTCTCCATTATTTCGATTGCTTGTTTGCTATTAAGCGACAGACGGAAGGACGAATGCTTAAACTTAATCGATATGAGCAAATATATGAGGAAAAACTACAGATAAAATAATTAAATAACAATAAATGCAAGCCATAGAATGAAAAAATAGAGACGACTGTGGTTTAGGGCGGCAAGATTTGCAACTAAATATTCTCAAACATATGAATTTTATATGCAACATAAACAATAATCTTTAAATTTTTTGCCAGTATATCTACGTATCTACAACTTAATTATAATTGCAAATAGAATCCTTACATTAATGTCTTCTTGATAAATATTTATTTTACTATTAACGATCAATTTTGAAAAACTCCATCACTATATTTCCATACGCTGTCTTATGGGCATTATGAAGTTTCAAAATGGCTTTTCAAATGTTGTTTGAATTGTCAAAAGGGTTGTTAAACCCTCTGAATTGATCAGAACGATCTTAATGATCAGGGTAATCAATTCAAAGAGTTTAACAATCCTTTTGGCAACTCAGATAACATTTGAAAAACCATTTGACAACTTATTAGTTAACTTCTACGATGATTAGTGTTTCAGAAGCCAGGTTCGATGCGAGTCGTTGCAATATTGGAAAATTAAAGGAAAACATATTCATTAGTGATAATTTGACATGACACGACAGGGTTAAATGTATTGAATAACAATCATTAAGTTTGAAAAACATTACGATGTTTGCACTTTAACCTTTAATACTAGCTAATTCCCGCGACATTATACACATATTAATATGTAAATATATATTTTATTTATATAGATACCATTAATACTTTGTATAACGGGTGCCTCGCATCTTGAGATGATTATAATTTTAACACTGACCAAATACTCAGTAAAGCATTAATAATATTAATAAATGCATTCTGATTGATAGGGACGATGATGTATAATAAAAACTTTGAACTTGAACTACAATTTCCGAGTCAACGGAACCGCACTAGCGTTATCATGATAATTTCTTGTATTTATGCGATGATACATTATAAAAGAAACTATTTTTACGGGACAGTCTGTCCCGTGACCATGACCGCGGTAAAGGGTTTGTGTCACGATCATTTACACACCTATTTTTTTTTACTTTTTTTCTATACCAGATCATTGCTTTCTTTATTTTTTTAATTTCCAAAATACACGATCTACCAAAAAAAACCGAGCAAAGCTCGGTCCTCCAGGTACTTAAAATTAAACGCCAAAACAGTTTCACTTATAAGCGTTATCACAATCAATTAGCTTGTAAAAAGTAATCACAAACGTTACCTTTTATCCTTATCTTTTTCCAATTAGAATATTATACGGTGCGTATTACTAAAATAATCATACATATAGTCTCCCGGATTGTTAGCGATCCCACAACTTGAGGCGAGGACTTCTATCATCTTCGCTTACCGAATCATCGAAAATATTGGTATTCCTTATCCTAATATTCTTGAAAATATCACTCAGGCCAGTGGCGGATGCAATTTAAAATTATTTTTCTATCTTTTTAGGATTTCCTAATTAATCCTCAAATCTTGAGGCTTTAGCTCCTAAAGAGTCCATTTCTATAACTGAATTATTAAGAATTGGGATCGCTTATAAATAATAAAAAAAAACCATACAACATGATCTTCTCTGGTAATGTTATATTTTATAATTATTATCATTTAATTGTAAATCACTTAAAAATAAACATACATCCAAATATATAATTTTGTTCATAATTATATCAACCATAAAATAAACGTCAATTACAATTTAAGAAAGATAATTGAAGAATGTTCAACAAATGCGAAAAATTTTAATATCAATACTGATTTCATAAAATTATTAATTGACAGACAAAGGCACGCCATTTTCACTTTCACTTAAAATGTGTTAGCATGTGTCAACATAATTTCAAATACACGGTATGTACACATCTTCTTATAATTTCACACGATATTAACTTAAATCCGGAGCCGTTTGTACTATTCTCATTAAAATCTTCCCATGAACTACGAGAACGCAATCACATATGTTCTAGATAATTGCCCTTGATGAATAGGAGAACATAGATATTCGTTGTTTTTTTATTACTGTGCACCATACACCATATGTACCATACACGTAAATAATATTAACAAAACGCAGATATAAATCTGCCACGACGGTCTCAAATAAGGTACGGTCAGACAGACTTTTAGACAGACTCTTTAAACTAAACGGAATTCCAATATTACGTTGACTTCAATGTTGAAGGAAAATCCAGATGGCGTTGCAATCGAGGAGGGATGCACCAAATTATTCCACCTTTCTTGATCCCTTTTGTAGTTGCAAACAACTAACGCGGGCTCATGTCGCGCTACATCGTCGTCTCCGTCGCGTTGCGTGACTTGTATCAGTGCATTGTGAAACCTGTGCAGGGCCAGATTTAGAGGTCTGGAGACCTCGGGGCAACAAAGGAGTGAAGGCCCCTTGCCCCAAATTATTTTCTATTGATTTCTGTTAATATTTAATGTAATCATGTTTGTACAAAGTACTGGTAGGTAAAAGTGAAACGCGACAAAAAAATATGAACGGAAAGTTGTTTACTGTTGTTTGAGTCCCCCCCGAGTATTGTGGGGTCCCCCCGTCTGTGGAGGCCCCGAGGCCGTTGCCCCGGTTGTCCTCCCCTAAATCCGGCCCTGGACCTGTGCATAAAAAAACAGGCACGCGACGAGGCCCGTTAGCGGCCGCTCCGCCCGACGCGCAGCTGGGGCACGGCCATCGACAAGAACTCCGCGAGGCCGGGGAAGGTCCGATCGACGGCGACGCCGAACCACAGCGCGTTGTCCGCCAAGTGGGCGTTCCGCGCGCCCTCTGCGTGCGCGTACGTGTACGGCGCGAACGCCAGATGGTTGCGCACGCTGAAAACGGCCTCCGCGTCCGGCACCGACTTGGTGACGGCCGCCGCCAGTTGGGGGTGCAGCCGGGCGAACACGAGCCCCTCCTTCCGATTGGCGAGGCACCCCTCGTGGTAGAGGCACGACACCATGTCCGAGGTGAACGCCTTCAGGGTACGCAGCTGCGCGTCCCAGTGCGCGTCCAGCGTGAGCCTCCCGCCCGCGCTCTTCTTGGCCGACATTGTTATTTTTCGGTACCTGCGTTGTGAACGGACGGCAAAGTCAAATGTGGTAACACGCCTAGTGAACTTTCAAAAACATCCAAGCTAATATTAGATCATAATGTATACAGGTACAGAAACACTTGTTTGCCACCTTTTATTGTGATTTGTTGAAACACATTTCATAAGCCGTGTAACAGTGTTCGCTGTTGCACGAATGGACAGATCCGTCCGAGCGAGTGCCACGACCTCACAGGATACCCCAAGAAGTCGAAGTGTTATACATCTGGGTTTTGCCTGGTGTGTGCATAGACGCAACAAATCTGCCACCCTACTGGCGTTACAAATTTCCATGAACGGCTGTCATCAGTTAACATTAGTTAACCGTTAGCTCGCTTACTATCTTCTGACGTCAAAAAAATATAACAACAACAGTTCGGGTTTATTTAAGGTCCACGTTTAATAACCGGGACGTACCATCCGTTCGCAAATTCTACTGTTTCCTGTAATCGGCCGTAGCATCTTTTGTTCGACAACTAATCCGAAGCAATCGGCAACGTTGAAAAAGAAAGATACTAACAGCACTAGAAGCGTGGCGACGCTGTCCAACAGCGCAGCGGAGGGGGTCAGCAAAGGCAGCGCTAGCGAAAGCGCTCCAGGGACGCATCCAGGCGGTCGACCGCAGCGCAGCTCGACGCGCGCTCGCCACTCCGCAGCGCTCGAGCCGCTGTACAGCGCGCGCATATCACCTACGGCAAATTAAGCGTCTTGTATTGGCCTGGTCCTTACAATATATATATAATGATATAACTGTGGCATAGTCTTCGCTGTTGCACAAACGGGCAGGTGTCCGGGGAAGTACCACGCCCTCAGAGAAGACTGGCGTGAAGTATAAGTGTTGAACTTCTGCGTTTCGTTTAGGGAGTGAGGTAGCTGCTGCGGCCCAATTTAATAAAAGGTGGCAATGAGTAAATGTCCATGGGCGGCGGTAATCTCCTAACATCAGATAAACCGCCTGCTCGCTTGGTAACTTTTCACGGTAAAAAATAATAAGATGTTTTAACCACTTGTTAGCATTTTTATTCACCACCGATTCGATCTTACACCAATACGGAGAAGAATAAGCAAAAACCCAAATAAGAATGGAACCATTTATTAGTAGGGACATTATTTGGAAATTAAAATCGAAATAATCTCTAGTATATAAAAATATGTTTACCTGGATTTATTTGTAACACCTTGTTGGACATTTCAGATAAGCTCGAGGCAACACTGCGTAAGATTTGAGGGTAGTCAACACGCGATGAGTCCATATTCATAAAGTATTGTTTTTTTCGCGTGCTTGAAAAAACCTGCCGGAGAATATACACTTTAAATAGCAAACGTTATTTACAATTCAATAGTTATTTATCAAAAGTTTATTAGAATAACTTACGAGATTAGCGTACATTTGCGTTAAGCTCATCAGAATTGCACACTGCTCTATTGGCTCGGCTCTGTAGTATATTTTCTTCAAAGTGTCCATTATAGAAATAATGTGTTCTAAGCAATCTACACTTATCCATACTATTAGGTCCATGATCTGCAAATATTTTTTTTTTTATTTTAGTGATAATTTATTTACATCGCCACAAGTTCTTTCTTCCATCTATCGCATGTCGCATACAGCCGGCCGCAGAGTGCGAGTATTGTGAAAGACACTCGGCGGGGTAGCAAAGGCCATTATTAATTATTTTATAATTTATTTATAATTGAAAATTTTCAGTTAAATGCCTACGATTCGAAAAAAGTTTCACTTGCATTGTGGTTTCATAAAACCACACAATGTTTTTTTAGGTGCTGAAACTTTGCAATATATTCAACTATTTCATAATGAATTACAAAGACTACAACAACTGTCAAAATTACCTCAGCAAAGAAGTCCTGTTCATTCCAGAAAGGTAAGAACTGTGCAAGGAACCTTGTAACAACGGGGACACCCTGCAGAATCGTCCGTTGAAACTTAGCCAGTTTATGCAACAGATCTCGTTTCTCAGCGTAATTATATGGGGATGTGTCGAGGAAAGCTGAATGAGAAAAATTAGCGGACATTTATACAACGGTTACACCAGATCACTTATTAATATTTTTGATGACGAGGAAATAAAATAAACTTTTTTTATGTGAGAAGGTGGCAAGCGAGCCAGCCGTACGTACTATTCTTTTTTTTTAATGTTAAAAGTTGCCAAACGAGCAGACGGTTCACCTGATGCTAAGTGAATGTGTGATGAAAAGTGAAAACCGAGGGTTTGCAGATGCGTTGACAACCTTTTTGGATATTGGGCTCCAGCTACCTCACTCACCAGACGAAACGCAAAAATACTAGACTTCCACTTTACGCTGGTCTTCTGTGAGGTCGTGGTACTTACCCGGACGAGCCTGCCCATTCGTGCAACAGCCGAGGCTGCTGCGTGGCCCTACCACTGTTGATCGTATGTTCAGCGATAGCTCCCGCCTATGCAACGTATTTTTGCATTGCCACCTTTTAATAAAATTAGCCCCTCACTCACCAGACGAAACACAGAACTATAACACTTCTACTTCACGCCGGTGTTCTGTTAGGTCGCGGTACTTACCCGGACAAAACTAACACCGTAACAAAAAATTGCAACTCTTCTGCAAAATCGCATGCCATTTCGTGACAACCAATTTTGATATTCATTCGGATACCTCCGTGGCGCAGTTGCCGTTGCCAAAGTATTGGCTTCATCACCGGGGGTCGTGGGTTCGATTCTCACACGAGACAACAGTTTGTGTGATCCACAGATAACTGTGATGTCCACGAGAAATGTATGTATGTGCTTTACAGCACAGGATAATGTTATCTTACAGAAAGAATGCAGCGTTTTCGGAGAGCAGATTACAATAGTTCTTTCTAGGTACCCAGTGGTCGTTGCTACTCACTACCCACAGAATACAAAAATACAAACTCACAGTTTGTGAGCAAATGATGCAGATCGTGCGAGAAGAACGCATGATCGGAGCCGGACGCCAACGCTAGCTGTGTAAGGCCGCTGTCGTTGCAGAGAAGTGCTCGCAACCGCGCCGGCCTGCTTGTTACACGTCTCACACTGTACTCCAAGAGGGAAACCGGGCTGAAATGATTGGGCCAAGAATGAATACAAAATTTATTACTTTATATTTATTTATCAATACATAGTATAAAGTAAAGTCGTCCCGCTGTCTGTCTGTCCCTATGTATGCTTAGATCTTTAAAACTACGCATCGGATTCAAGAGGAAGTTTTATTATATCATTATATGTATAACACATTGCATCCATGCGAAGCCTGAACATCTAATATATAAAATTCTCGTGTCACGGTGTTTGTAATTTAACTCCTCCGAAACGGCGCGACCGATTTTGTGAAATTTTGTGTGCATATCGGCCAGGGTGGAAAATCGGACAACATTTATTTTTCATCCCCCTAAATGTTAGGAGTTGGCCACCCCAAACATTCTTTTTTTTACCCCACATTTTATTTGACAAAACAACGTTTGCCGGGACGGCTAGTAGTCTATAATAATTAATGGAGAGCCGGTTTTTTGTTCGGTTATACTGCGAAAACTACTGAACGGAGCGGAATAACACTTATACCATAAGACGCAACGTGTTTCGGAGAAGAGAGAACGCAATTATAACATATGTATAGCAAGATATCGGAAACCGTAAAATTTCAAAAATAAAAGTTAACATCGATGACAACGACTTGGATTAAACTCATACTCATAACCAAATACTTCAGAACTTTTACCAGATCTTCATCTCTTTTACTGCTCGTTAATTCAATGTGACGTTCTGGTTCAATTCGTCGGTTTAAGACGTCTTATTGTCTAAATATGAGGATCGAGAGTAATCGCCAATGTATGCCCCCCATCACAGTGTTACCAGTTCCAGTAAACCATCAATACAACAATCCGATTCGAACATTTAAAAAGTGGTCACATAACAAAATATGTTTTAATCACTGTCCGGTTTCGGTGATTTTGAATTCCATTGTTATGTAGTTTGTTTGAACATGACATTGCACTGGCATAATAAGGCAGTAGACTATATTTTAAGAAAAAATCGCATGAATTCGAAAGCATCATAATCATAGGCAACATGCTACGTTTATCTATTAAGTATATATTTAAAAAAAGATTTTACGAAATATTATTAATCACACTTCTTAAAAAAGGTTTACATCTGATTATTTAATCAATGCATCATGTTAACTCATTGTCGCCAAAAACCAACACAATTTACCACTGGTAACAAAATACCCATAGAAGGTAGAAGAACTATCAAATCATAACTGTCTTCTGTGTCATTATATGTACTAGTAGCGACTAGTTTGGTAGTGTCCAAACATACTTTTAAACACGAAACTAATATCTCCCAATAAAAATGGAATATTATTTTTAAAAAAAGTATTATAAATAGTAAATAAAATCCAATTTTTTTTCTTGCATCATCTAAATGAAAGAGTTCTATATTCCGTATATTCAGAACACAAATTTCTAGGCTTCGTGCTGTTACAGTATAATAAAAAAGGTGTATGTAGAGGAACTAAAGATATTTTATTATTATACTCACTCAGAAAAATCAAGATAGTTTTTCTGTGAACTTTTCTCATATTGCTTTAAGGCAATATTAAGAAATTCCATGTTTGGGACCAAAGGGTCTACTTTCTTATTTCTTCCAGATTCCTAAAAAAAGAAATGATATTATTTCTAAATGATATTTTGTTAAAAACTTAATAATAACATTCTTAAAAATACATTATAACTTACAGAACTGATTAGGTTGGTCCACAGCAAATGGTCCTTTTTATTATAAGAATTATTTCTGGAGCTCTAAAATTATTCAATGTATATTTATCATTTTTTAAGATCAAGATACATAATAAATTATGCATTTTATAAATGTTAGAAATCTATAAATCAGTAATATATCTATAAATTAAATCAGTATACAATTTAATCAGATATTACAACTTAAATGCAAAAAAAATATTTAAAGCAATATTGTAATGATTTTCGAAAGTTCAAATAACAAAAAACTGACATCCACAGCAATTTCCAACCAAATTCAAGCGCTACTGTTTGGAAACGTGGCCTTCCTAACATCCTTAACGATCTGGCAATAACATTATACACACATAGCCCCTAGCTCTTCTGGCGAAACAAACACATCTCTTGCTGAACGCATTCATGGTGGTTATTACCACTCCCAGCCAAAAATTGATACAGTGTTGATTGCTGAGTTTGGCTCTATTTACATACCATCCCTACATAGATAACTGACAGGCATGAACACATGCACAGCCCTAGAGTAGTGTGGTGTCTTATCACACTTGTGGAATCTGACTGTTCCATGAACTCTATGTTAAACATAAAGACTGACAGTGAAAACATTATTCAAATCACAACTTCTGTAACTGTTTGAAAGATATAAGTAATGAGATGAAATTGTGAGTAATTTCTCAGTACTTCCAGTCAACATGTACCTTTTACTAGTTACCAAATACATATGTTTAATGATATTATGTAAATATAATATTTATCCTAATTGGTTTTGAATAACATTTTTAAACCGGCAACATAAAATATCAGTATTTTATCCTGATATTAACTATCAATTCACTACCCTTTCATTAAAAATCAGAAAACGATTTTCTGATTTTTATGTATACAGCGTGTTGTTACAACCGCGACAATAAATGAACACCCGTCTAACTCTACTTGCCAATAACCATAAAAAAAATATTAACTTTTAAAAAAATCCAGAATTAAAAAAAAATATTTTTCAAACAAACTAATTAAGTAAAAAAGAAACAAAATTTCTAACATCCTATACAACTACAACTGACTGATTCATACATTCAGAGACTTTTTCATTCATTGGCCACAGCGTCGCATTACAAGCCTCTCCTTCTAAAAGTATGTTTTGTCTCTTTTAAATTCATTCAGCCCATTCATATGCTTTGTGACCTTTACAAATGAACTTTACGTTACAGTTAAGATGTTCTAAAACTATTTGTTTTGGAAAATTAATAACTCGGTAAATATTGATGTTTAAAGAATTTAAATGTTTAATACAATTTTAAAAAGTTATCCTCTATATGTGTGTTCATTTATTGTCGCAATTGTAAAGAAACGCTGTATGTATTCATATACACACATATACATATGAATACATACAGCGTTTCATGTATATGAATACATACAGCGTATGTAATATGTTCATACATATTATATTATATAAATTATGAAAAACTGCATATTGAATTCATCCCATACATGACACTGTTTAAAACGCCTCAGTAGAGTTGTGTTAATCTTCCGAAATGAGGTGTGTATTGAAATAGAGGGCACATCTTCTGGAACACATTCTGGTTTGTATGACTTGAATAATCCTAAGAGGACTTGAAGTTGGCGATATAAGTTCTGAAACAAAATAATTTTATTATTAAAATTATAACTTGCAATAAATGAAATTATGGTAATTTCAAAATTTCAACAGAGATAATAAATTTTTAAGGACAAACCTTTTTTGCTTCTCTTTTTTTAGAATAGTCCAATAGTTCAAGAACTCTTCTCCTTGTGACATCAACAGGTTTAGTCAAGTTATACACCAGTTTCATAGCATGTGCTGCCTGAAAAAGCAATTGAAAATTGATGAAATACTTTAAAGGATATATCAATTTGTTCATCTTGTTAAAGTTTTTAAGAACTTCCCTGCCTAACATGAATTAAATACACAAAACGATTACGTAATAATAATTAAGACATTTTTAAAGATTTCTGACTACAATCTTGAGCTGAATATAGGAATAAATGATATACAATCAATAACTACAACTTATACCGCCATGGGACATAATTGGAATAATGAAAATTGAATGAATAAAAGTAATTTGCATAGTGTCATTACATATAAAATACAAATAACAAATAAAATAAAAATACACTTAATTTTGAAAACAATAACTTACTAATACTTCATATGTTAACATGGTATAGAACACCTCATATCCATAGTCCAATGCTACCATGTCTACTGAATCACAATCCATTGCAGCTAAAAAATATAGTAATGCAAATGTTAAATAAATATTCAAAACATAAATAAAGAAAAATTAATAAATGAAAGGAAAATTGTAAGGACAACAGACATATTGTTAACATACCTGTTAGCCAGTCAAGTAAAAAACCTATTCTAGAAAAGCTGGTCTGATTTTCATAATTGGCAAGTAACCAGCGTAAGGAATAGTCAACAGTGCGCTCTTCAACCTTTTCTTTGGGAACTAAACAAGTGCCAAGACTAATCCATTTTGTTATGGCTGTAAATAAAATAAACCTTTAAATAACAGAATAGAACATTAATGTACGAATGATTGACAAATTACTTACGTATACTTAAATTCAACCATACTTTGAATAAAGTATGAAAGTCATAATATTCCAAACCTTCGTTTTCCACAATATACGAAAGTTCGTCAACTTTACTCTGAAACAAGTCTTTATCAAAACCCTTCTTTAACGATTTAATATAATCGATTATATCATCCACGTCTGCCATCTCTTTTATTTATAGTTTACAACTTTTAACTCTAAAAAAATTAAATTATTGCTTGCAAAACATAAACAATACATGAAACATGAAACAAAATTCAAATGTAGAAATACGTTGACAAAAGTCAAAACTAAGATTATTATTTTTTGTTTGATAGCAAAAAACAGATGATAAATTTTATAATAACATACTTTTTATAGAAAATTTAATTAAATTTAATATTCAGGACAACAAAAAAACAGTACTTCAAAATGTTTTTAATATAATATAATTATTTTTTTGGAAAAAATCAACATTACATAATTCAATTTACATAATTTCCTAATTTAATTTCAATTTAAACAATACGTTAGTTTACAGCGAACGCTACATTTATGACCTAAACAGAGGATCAGAAAAATATTAAATCTCTAACTACTTAAGAACTTATTTTAACAAGCTTTGAAGCAAAAGATGTTAAATAAACTGTGTATATATTTCTCTTCTAACATTTTAAAAAATTAAAAAAGTTTGAATCTCAATTATCTATGGTTCAACACGGTTTTACGTGTCAACAAATATTTTACCCTAGAAATAAGGAAAATAATAGCAATAAGAATTATTAAGAATAGCATAAGTTTTGCCAGTATTATTATTTTGTATTTTTACAGTTTTTAATTTTGTATAATTATTTTAATGAAACTAGTCGGTACATACACCGGGTTTACGTGACTTCAGCCGTCTTATTATTACGTTAATCATTTTATTTTAAAATGAGAAGTTCTTATGATTCACATACAATGTCCCTATTATTTACGATAAATAAATAAAAATTGTCTAACGTTACCCAACAAAAATCTAAAAAATTAGCTGACTACGAAGAATCAATCCCTTGGGAACAGAAGGCTGAATAACTGGCGGTAACACTATGTTGAATCGTGTCAAAATATAAAAAAAATAATCAAAACAACGATTGTTTTGAACAATATCCTAAACAATTGATCCTGTTTATATGTCTTTCGCGCATTTGTAATTTTCTTTAATTTATTGAGACATAAAACAGTTTTACGTTAATAATTATACATAAAACGGAATTTCTAATTATTTAACTAAACGTTCAACCAACACCAATGTCCGCAAAAAAAAATTGTGAAATAAAATGAGTCAGTCGGTTCCTACTTTCTACCCTAATTTGCGTATTACTTTTTTACTATTAGTGTAACCATTATTTTAAATCGATTTTGTGGAAGTGGAAACAAATCACAATTTACAAATTTAGAGATATATAAACCTAGTACTCTACGAACGCTGTCCAGCGTTCGTAGAGTGCCTGTGTTCTACACTTTTCAGTGTAGAATAATCGAGGCACGCGTGCATCGCGTCTGGTAACTCTTCTTATAATATAAGCAATCTTGTTAGTAAAAACCACACTGACAAATATAACAGCATGACCATAGTAAGAGTGCGTGTTGACTTCAAACTCAATAACTCATTTTACGGTGGTAGGGCCACGCAGCAGCCTCGGCTGTTGCACGAATGGACAGGCCCGTCCGGGTAAGTACCACGACATAACAGAAAACCAGCGTAAAGTGGAAGTTTGACAAATACTTTCGCGTTTCGTCTGGTGAGTGAGGTAGCCGGAGCCCAAATGTCAAAAGGTTGTCAACGCATCTGTAACCCTCGGGTGTAACAGATGTCCATGGGCGGCGGTATTCACTTAATATCAGGTGAACCGTCTGCTTGTTTGACAACTTTTCGCATAAAAAAAAACTCACATTTTTCTAATAACTGAACGTAAGAAAGCTTGGCATTAAAACATTTAAAGTGCATTTTGCACAAGAACTTCTTTTGTACAATTTCCAATCTTGAAATATATTTTTCGTAGAAGGGATTGCATATTGGGATAGCAAATTCTAATTGAGAATGAGGTTTTGTATAAGAGTAGGAAAGCCGAAGGACGCTTAAAGTTGTAAAAATCTTGAGAAACGCAACGGAAAATGAATACTGTCAGAAGGTCATGATATTTGACGGTGGTCCCATATTATCGAAATAATTTTAAATTGTATTATTTTCTCCGCACTTAAGTTGAAATTTTGCGACGCTCCAGATGGTGAGTGACGACCTCAACAATGTACTTCCTATGCTCGTGTTGTTACAATGCACGGCAGTGGAATTTAGTGTCTGAAAATTTAGCACTGAAAATTTAGCACTTGTCGTAGTGAATTTAATTAAATTTAATTATTTTTATATTGAGATGATTATCTTGCAACGATCGTAACAAAAGATACTCATTATTGTACTAAAAAGAAGTAATAAATTTCAATAGGGAAAATAATAATTATATTAGGAATTCCATTAACCATAGACAAAATTCAAGCGATCCGTTATTTTTTCGCATCTCTACTGGAAATGTCAAATTGAACGAATTGTCGTTTGAAGTAAACAGTATGGATATTTGCCAGTATAGTATTCATTATAATATGGTCAAAATAATATAACCAAATAGTTATTACTTGGTGATTAATTAAAAGGCCTAAATATGTGGCCCATGTTACTGAATATGACACGCGACGAATGTCGCCAGACGCTTAGGAGACTCGGTATATATTTAGTCTTATAAATGGCATTCATTTTCCCTCCTATGATGTTCTTATAATGAACTTACACCAATGCATTGCCCAAAAGTCCATAAAATAATTATAAACTAGTATATTGTAATAAGTAGTGCCTTTATTTGTAGAATTAGAAGCCTACTCAAAAATGATCAGTGTGCTAAGAGCACAAGGGGCATTGGAAGAGAATAGAAAAAAGTTGCTTGAGGAGCTCCGCGCGGTTTTACATATAAGCAATGATCGCCACAGCGCCGAGGCGCGTCGCGTGTCTAATGACGAGTTATTAGCAACTATTGCAGAGCAGTAAGTCTTATATTTTTCAATTTTGTTTGTGCCTGTAGATTTATTTTTAAAACAATGCCTTTGCAAAGTCAAAGATGGCAGATATCTTTACTGTGAGTGATTATGTTGTATAGTAGTATTTACAAACATTTTTACTATTTTAAAGTGCAATTTCTGATAAGATTTGTAACATTATGACATTTAATTTTATTTCCTTTTTTCTCTTACCACATACTTGAATATAGAATTATCTTGACTTACAAAAAGTATAAACAAGCTTAAATGTATAATTTTAAGAAGAATTTATGAAAATTAGGGAGGATTTTTGAATTTAATTAGAAAGATTATAGATTTTATTTTGACAGGTAACCTATAAAACTGTTTGAGAGTATTTTATTTTTATTAATTAACATTTTTGGCTTTTTGGATTTATAATATTAATTAAGCAAATACCAATATTCACAACAAGATGCTATATATTTTGCTAGAAAATGTCAAATAATGGTAAAAAGATATTAAATATCATGAAAATATTTTTTGTTTAATTTACTTTCTTTTTAATATCTTATCTATCTTTATGGAACAGGGTGAAATTATCTTTTTAAATATGTTAGTGTTTGTGTTTTAATAACATTATGTTTTTTACGGAAGTTAAAATTTTTTACTCATATAAATTTTGCCTGCAGTAATTTAAATATTATTATTTATCAAGTCTAACCCTGTAAGTTAAACACTTATTGATATCAGGAGATATATAAAATATATTCAAATGTTTTATTTTTAGAACTGTAAAACTATAACTAGAAATTTGTTCCACTGAAAATGTGTCAAAATATCTTAAGATTAACAACTTAAGATTGGTCTATTTATTCAACTAAATATTGAGTAGTCTTAACACCAGTTATAACTGAATATTATATGAAGTAAAATATTATTTTTCACATATTTTGCTTTTAAAATGTTTTCAAGTGGTGTATTTAATTTTTCATGACAATTTATGCAAGTCAATTATTTTGCACTATAATTTTTATAGACCAAACAAATTACCAATAAAGAAACATTAATTTATAATAAAATGTTGGTGAATTATTTAACTATTTTTTTCAGATTAGCAGGGCCTAACACTGGGCTAGCATGGATCAGCGAAGGTCGGAGAAGAATACCACTCTTGCCACGTGGTATCCCGCAAACTGCTTACACAGAAATAGCAGATAAAGCTGCCGAGGCAGCTGCTGCTGAAAATAGAGAGCTTCAGAAGAAAATAGAAGCTGAAAAACTTGTTGCACCTAAATCCAATGAGGAAGAACATCCAGAAACTGAAGGTCAAACAGCTGAGTGTGGACTATCAGCAAATGAGGAAATTGACGAGTTATTATACCCCCCTATAGCTATGGAAGATGAAACAATAAAAGTAATAGTTTATCATAGTATATATAATTTTATTTTTGCCACAATTGCCATATTTAATGATATCACATACCTATTTACAGATGTGGGAAACAGAATTACTTGGTCGCAAAAGAAAGATTCCCGAGACTGGTTCAATACCTGAAGATGGGACTACTCCAGTCAAGAATATGAGAAATATACCAGTGAACACAAATCAAAAGCATGTGAATTTATCACAAATTTACTCTAAATTCTCCCAACCAGCATCAAGTTAGTTCTTTTGATTTTGTTTTTATAACTAATACAGTACATATAAAAATTCGATTCTATCATAATTCAATTACATTCAGAAGGGATTTTTAGGTACATCACGCTTACACAGCTTATTAATAAGTAGGACTATCATTTAATTGTATTTCAAAACCCAATATGGACAATTGTTATATAATTTTTTTTTTACTTTTTATCTATTTTTTATATATCTATGTATGCATGTTAAGCAAGCCACACTATGTACAACAAGTGAACTAAATAATGCAATATTATAATATTAAAATGTAATGGGATTGCAGGTAAAAATAAAGAAATAATATGATAAATACACTGGACGTTAGCAGTTCCGCTATCCACAGTCTAATCGCTCGAACGTTTCGCAGGTAAAACGTCCGGCCAATCGAAACACTCGTACAACCAAGTGAGCAAAGTGTCGACGAGCAAATCGAACCCGAACCCGTCGAGGCAGTCGCAGCACAAGCACAGAGCGCACAAGCAGGGCGCTAGGGGCGCCAAGTCGAGCGCGCAGAGGAAGCCTCAGGAGCTGACGATGTCGCCGAGCAAGTACAGCGCCGGCTCGATGCAGGACTACGGCGGGCCGAACTCGTTCCAAGCGAGCTACGCGCAGTCGGTGATGAGCAAGCAGAAGGCGGACTACGACGAGCCGAGGGCCAAGGTGATGTCGCCCGGAATGGTGACGGACTCGCCGCCGATGCAGCTGATGACGCAGCCGGCGGCTTTGCCCCACGAGCCGGCGCTCCCCGACGGCGCGCACATCGACGACCCGGCCAGCCTGCAAGCGCACAGCGGCCCTGTTCCGAAACAACCCGCGAGCGGGAAACCCTGCCAGCTCGTCATCAAAAAGCGCCACGACTCTGCCGCCGCCGACAGGAAAGTGCAAATGTCCGAATTCAAGATACTGCAGAAGCCCACCGACAGCGTGAAGCTCCTCTCCAACCGGCAACTGGTGGTCGCGCCGAGCTCCGCTCAGAAGGCTCTCAACACGGGCAAGCTCGTCACCACCAAGGTGATCGGCACCGCCAAGGCCCGCCCACCGAGCGTCCCCGTTGCGGCGGAAACGATGATAGTTGTATCCAAACCGCCCACGGACAACAAAATCCTAACAAACTCTAAGGTCATTCTGACCTCCTCAGCCGGTATGCATAGTAAGGACAACGCAATAATTAGCACAAATAACGTATCACCCAAACCCTCCGAAACTCTCACCCCTAAAGGTATTCCCGCCACGGACTTAAAGGTCTCCGCGAAAACTTTCGTTTTAAATCCGAAATCGGGACAGAAAATGGTCGTGTTGCCCGCCAAGGCTCGAACTAAACCCATTGGCGATGGCCAAGTTCCCCTATTTCATTTCAAGGGCATGCCTACGGCGATGAAACTAGTTCCTGTTAGTTCGCAATCAGTCAGTCAGGTCACTAAACCGAGCGCCGTTACGGTTGTGTCAAAACCGGCCGTAGTCAATACAATACCCTCCAACGCAAAAATTGTGGGTGTTGAACCCATCAAAACTGCAAATCTAGCCGATATTATTCCTGTCAAAGGCCTCGCACCTGTTTCCACCCCGAAAATTACGAATCCCATAATGCGACCGGTGAGCTCGAAAGGCAGTGTCATAGTTGTACAGAAAGGTAGCGCGATAGGTAAAGCGTTGACGTTTACCAAGAACGGTAACGACATGTCCAAAATCATCATGGGCAAAAATGTCAATCAACTTCTGCAAGCCTCGAAGCCCGATCAGGTGGACGCGGACAAATGCTCGGGCAACGTAATAGTGCTCGAACTCAACAACGAACAAACGGGTCGCCCCACAACCATGTCCGAGATACTGGACAGCCGCGCCACCACCACGCCGCGTGAACTCCAAAAAATCTCTCAACAAGAAATCACACAGGACACACCGGTGCTGTTCGAAAATCAACTGACCGACGAAACGTGTAATCCAAATAGTTTAGACTCCACGGCCGAAAGCATAGGTGATATAGTGCCAATGGAGACGGACCTTTCTATGATACACAAAGACGAAAGCAAGACTTTTGAGAAAAGCGCAGACGCCGTCAAGGACTCCTCGAGCGTCACCGACTGGGAAATGGAGCTGGAAACAGCGAGAAAAGATAAAGACGAGGACGATAAACTGAACTCGTTACACCTAGACCTGGGCATGTCCAGCGACAGCGAAAGCGAGTACCTGAACGTGGGCCCGCACAAAACAAAAAGCAAACGTTCCGCCCAGGAAAGTATACAACGGGCGACACCTAGCGGTAAGTTTTGTTCTTAACATACGGTGTCGTTTTTAACTTCACGGGTGATACTTTAATTATCGTGCAATTTTTAGGGGTGGGCAACGATATGTACAGCGGGACTGGTACTCTGTCCCTTGCCACGAGGACTTTACTCAGTCAGTTGCAGGACGAGGGCTCATCGAGCAACGACTCGTCGTTTGCGCTAAGGTCGAAAATGTCGGAGAAATTGAAAGAGTGCGACATAAAACTAGACAAAACGGAGACGGAGGCGTTAACGAAGGCGAAGGAGAAGCTATCGGAGAAAGTGGCAGAGGCGAGGTCGCAGCAAAAGCGGATAGACGTCTATAGCACCGCGATCACGTCATCAGAAATAAATCTCGACTCGTTCTCTTACTTAGACGAGGGAATGTTGGTTGGCGACGACGTGTTCTCGACGGAAAGCAAGCGCCACGGCCGCCGCGCGGTTCTCGACGATCAACTTTGTCCATTGCTTGGCGAGGACTCCGCAAACTCAACAGACTCACAGACTGCAATTGAAAGTTTGCCACTTAAAAAAAAATAAGCAATAAATTAGTTTTAAACTGGGACGTGGTACGTAGTGCGCCGAAACTGTTGTAGTCCGCAAGTAGGGAAAGGCGGGAATTTGTGATGTGAAGTGTAACACGACAATACAGCAGCGGAATGTTCTTGTGCCCAAAACAACTGTTAAATTGATGGTGTGGACATTTTTAATGTTGAAGGTTTTGTGTGACTTTGGCAACTAATAAGAATTGATCAAGAAAGAGGCTACAGATATGGCATATTGGTAATTTAGACTTAATCCTGTTATTCTGTTGTAATTAACATAAAATAGTTACAGAGTGATGAGTATTTTTGTAAATCCTGACAAACTTAGTATAAATAATATAAATAACTAACGAGTGTTTATTTTTATTTCTTATGATGTTTTATTTTTCAATGTCAGTATGAGATGAAACAATGGTAAAAATATATGATGTTTCAAAACCAACTGTTTTATAGTAAATCATACACATAATATATATTGTACCTTAAAGATATGAAAAACTCAAATGATGTAAGACTTCCTGCAATGTAAACATAATTTTAATCAACCTTTAGAGTTCTGTAAACAACATTATAGGGACATTTGAAAATTGAAAAAGTAATAATTTATTAGTAGTAACAATAGTAAATTGAAAAAGTAAGAATGAATCGATAAAGTAATTTTATATATTTTTTGTATTAAAATTTTATTTCTTGTTTAATATAAGTATAGTGTAGTATAAAATGTGTTATAAAATAATACAATGTTGATTTAATGCTCGTTAGTTAAACATTTTATTATTTGATGCATGCAAACCGAAAATGAATTGTAATTTGGGCTGGATCATTGCTACATATTTATGCCAATATCTATTTATTACCCTTCTGTAATTTGTTTGCAAATCTTATTAATATCATATACAGTGTGTCGTTACCATCGCGACAATAAATGAACATACGTCTAATGCTACATGCCAATAATCATAAAAAAATATTAAAGTTAAACAAAATCCATAATTTAAAAAAAAATATTTATCAAACAAACTAATTAATTAAAAAAAAACAAAATTTGTAACATCATACTCGCGCCACAGCGTCGTATTACAAGCCTCTCCTTCTAACAGTATGTTTTGTCTCTTGTAAATTCATTCAACCCATTCATATGCTTAGTGACCTCTACAAATGAACTTTACGTTACGCTTTTATAGGTGAGGGTGTTCTAAAATTATTTGTTTTGGAAAATTTAATAACTGTAAATATTGATGTTTAAAGAATTTAAATGTTTAATACAACTTAAAAAAAGTTATCCCCTATATGTGTTCATTTATTACCGCGATGGTAACGATACGCTGTATATAACTAACTAAACTAAAGTTAAATATTAATATTTATATAATTATTTTTGGCATGATTTTTAAATAATTAGATATGAGATTTTTTTTATCAATTATATATTTATATGAAACAGTCTCAAATATAAGAAAGTTAATTTCTACTTTTACCAGTCCATCCAGCCCTACCAACCAAAGTTCATTTTTGATTCACAATGTTAAAAATGTTTAGAGAAAAACATTCTAATGGTTTCAAAATACTCTAAAAGTTGTGTATAATGAGAGATTTTTGATACTCGGTGAAATTTAAGGAACTGGTACTAATTTTTAACACCAAAATGTAGACACATTATGTAAGCCAGTGCCTTAGAAATATATAAAAGTTCTAAGAACAAGTCTTGACACTTACCAAAAATTTTGAAGATAAAAACCTTGTGTTCCAACATAAAGTAAGAGACTGAAAACAAAAAAAAGTTATACAAAATTTTTTTTCAGCTATTGAAACGTAAATTCAACCTAAGACAAAAATTAATTACCTGTTTCATTTTCCTTTATTTTTGTACTCTAACATTTTTACTTTTTTTTTTTTTTTTGAAAAATTGGAAACAGAATTACAAACATGTACATAAAATGTGTCTTGATTTTAGAAATGTTTTTCTTATAGAATGTTAATACTTGTATAAATATTTTTTCATTCAATATCATTAACATGCTTGTATAAAGTAACATTTATACTCATTATATTATAAAAAGTTATTTGTTTTAACTTTAAACATGTTTAAATATTACAATCTGTTGCTGTTTCATTGTAAAAATATTCTCGAACGCACAAATTGCCAATGTCGTTTTTTTCACTATTAATAATTTTGAATTACTCTGAATATTGTAGGATTATAGTTTTCTATAAGTTGTATATAGTTGAGATTATGTTGCATAATTTTCTTTTATTTAGCAAAGGAATGACATTAATATATACAAACTTGTCATGCTATTTACTAGACAGAAGTAAATATTGAATACTTTCATAATTTTGGCAAGTAGTGAAAGTTCATATAATTAGAAAAATGTCTTAGGTATTTCTAAATTCTATTGAATAAGTGTTACTTCAATTCCCAGAATATTAATGCAAACTTGTACTGTCAACTGTTATTGTGCTAATATTGGTGAAAATTAAGTCAGATATATCAAATAAATTAATTGTCTGTGTATAAAATCCAAGTATGAAAAGAATTTAGTTTTGAAATATGTGTATGTATAATTTAAAATACATATTGCAATAAAAAAAAACAATGTTACAAGTGATATTTAAATAACTTAGTTATTAAGCGCTTTGTTGCCTTAAAAATAGCAATATTTATAATGGAATACCTTTAAGATCTCTTTTTTTATATAACCAGCTATAGTGATATAATAAATTGTCAACTGTAAGGACAAGAGTTAGTTTACATAGGACACAGATAACAACCTCATATTTCCCCAATTTATGTGTATTACTAAAAAGTAACTTTGAACTAGATCCATTGGAGTATTACCAAAAATTCGACATGACTTCATTGAATCATTGAAAATCTCTTCACATTTATTCATTAAGGACAATTCGAATACAGCACTAAAAGTAATAGATTATGTTGCTTGTTAAAATTAAGCAAGTTGGACATTAGTAAATTTATAATTTAGATAAAATCATACATTTGCTCTTGATTCTACTGATGTTTAGTAATATGCTTTGGCAAAAATATTATGATTTCAATCATAATATATATTGAATAGACATTTGTGAAAAGCAACGTCTATTGTTCTGGACATTGAACATAGAATCTACATATCAGGTATTTCTTTACGTAAAGTTCATGTAAACTGAATAAAAGTTGTTATTTTTACCAAGAATTCTAGAAATGATAATGTTGTTATTGTTATAATATATAGAATTGCTAATTGTTTGTAATTTAAACTGTCCATTATGTGATATTTTAAGAATCACAAATATCCCAATGCAAAAAAAAAAAAAAACTTATTAGATGTATTTTTATTAACAATTTAATATTTTCTGAATTTGTACCACCTTTACATTAAGAAATTTTCAACAGATTGTTACTGATAAACAATAGATTTCAATTAAATTATGTGAATTATTCCCTATCCAACTTCGGACACTTGTAACACACATCATACAAATAATTTCTTTTTCATAATTTTGGAAAGTGGAAAAAAATTTACTGTAGTTATATTAGAATTCTTGTATGGACTAGAAGAATGTTTCGAAAAGCAATGAAACTAAAAAAAAGACAATGTACAAAACGCCTAATGTCATAAATATGAAATTGGCTTTTTATGACAATTATTAATCCCTACTGGTGTTATTATTGAACTTGTGAACGAAAAATTGAAAAAGTCAACATTCTCTTACCTACTTTAGTTTAAAATCAACAACAAATCTATTAATATGTTTAAATAATAATGGTACATATTTCTTGTTTCAGAAGAAATTATATATTATTCTGAAGAAATTGTGCCATGTATAGAGTAATAGATTATTCCTTATGACAAATTTGTAAATATTAGTATACTGTTTTTATCAATGACAATTATTGTCACTATATACAATATGTATTGTACCATAATAACTATTGAGAATTGTATAATTCACATTTTTAGATGTGTATGTATGGTCTACATAAATTTTAGTTTAGTTAAATGTTTGATTTTTGGATATAGGTGCAGGTGAATGAATGCGTTTAAATTGTTATGATTCAGAGAAATCGTAATTCATATGCATTTTTCATTCGGTGTCTTTGGTGTTGTACAAACTACTTTATTTTTTCAAAGAAAATAATGTAAACTATTCACCTGCATCGAAATTTTTTAAACATAAGTTGTTCATTTGTTTGTCAGCTGTAAATATTTTGCGTAGACCTAGTTCCGTCAAGAATAAAGCGTCATAGAATCACTGAGAACATGTTAATACAATTTCTATGTTTGGCATCAAGTTTATTTTATCTACTTATTTTAACAATAAAACAGTTTAATTACATCTTTTTTTTTGTTCTAAGACTATCATCATATCAAGGTTTCGAATAAAAATCCTCATAGCAATTACAGTTTTAATTTTAACAAACATAACACATACATATAACAAAATAATCAAATATGCTCTGTTCAATTATAAATTGCAATTTATATTGCTACAGTCACATGGACATAAATACTATACTCATGATTATAGCAGTATGGTTGATAATTTAGGATGACACCTTGTGCATGGCATCGGCGACGTAATTAACGTTCTTCGAGGAGATGCCAGCGACAGAGATGCGTCCATCCTTTGTCAGGTATATGTGGAACTCTTTAGTGAGGCGCTCGACCTGGAAGTGTATAAATAAAAAGTAAACGTGACATAGACATTTTAAATATGATACAATAATCAATCAAATTATTTCAAAGTTAAATATTATTATAACTGATTTATTAGGGTTATTGTCTGTTATTGTAACTCATTTTGCTATTTAAGACGCTGTATGCAGTAAAAATAGGTTTTAAAAAAGTTTTTTTAGCAAAATCTATGCACTTTATAGCAGCAAAAAAAATATTTGTTAATCTTGATCTTACATTCTAATGGAGCATTGTTTTCAAAACATATTCTCAATAGAATATATCCCGATAGAAAAAAATCATGAAACTCAAATCCAAAAATGAATGTAATACATGAACAAATCTTAATGAAATTAATATCAGTGGTGTAGAATATATTAATAAAAAGGATTGTTGTTTTTATTTGTTGATTGAAGTAAGATATTTGTAAATATTAATTTAATTCATTAAAATTAATTCGAACGCGACGGCCAAAACACCGCGCCACCGGGGCGTTGTTTCGGTTCTTTTCCATTTCCAGGCGCGTTCCTAGATGGACCTATGCCGCTCGTCCTCCGTTCACCGTTACGAAATATGTTCCTTATTTATCTTTCGAAACAAAAAACTAAAAAATGTATATTTGTATTTAATTATTTGTATGTATTAACAACTAAAAGATAATAATATCTTATATATAATATCTTACTAAATTTAATTCTCATAACTTTTGTAAAGTTTCAATAGAGTAATTTACAAGATTATATAATAGTATTATGTTATGTTTAAAGAATCGTATTGTAGGATTTTTCTTGGCACAGTCACAGTAGCAATCTACGCAAGCTATACCATTTGACCAGGAAATTAATTTACTATGTCAATTTAAGCATTGTCATTTTATCGTTTATTGCTAAATATACTGTTTGTGTATGGCTAAATATGTATAAATAAAAATTTAGTATTGATTAAAATATAATTGTTTTTAAGGTCTATCAACCTAGTCAACGACTTACCAAAATCTAGTGATTGGTACATCATACAAACCTTATGTTTTCTTTTTACATTTCATAAAGGTTCAATAACCTGATGGTTCTTGGTTGGTCCTTTGAGTTTTATCACACAATTGTTTGAATCTAGGTTGCTTTTAAATTTCTTTCGGAAGATTGTAGTTCTTTGTGATATTAAATTACCACTTTTTACATTACTTAATCTCCAGAACTTTGATGGTACATGTCTCTTATGTATTTCAGTACTTCCAACCACCCACTTCATATGAAAATTTCTTAGAATTTTACCTGCTCGGGCTTGAGGCCGGTGAAGCAGAACATTCCAATCTGGTCGGTGATGTGGTTCCAGGGGCGCTTGTTGCCGGCGCCCTCGATTCCAGCGCGCAGTTGCTTGCGCATTGAGATAATTCTGTCCGCCATCAGCTTAACGTCCTGCAACCTTTGGAACCGGAAGAATATTTTTAAACAGATCCGTCCGTGTAAGTACACTAACCACACAGAAGACTGGCGTGAAGTGAAAGTGTTATACTTTTGGGTTTCGTGTGGTGAGTGAAGTAGCCGAGGCACAGTTATTATAAGGTGCCCACGCATCTGCAACTTGCAAATGTCCATGGTCGGCGGTTTTCACTTAATAGTAGGTGAACTTCAAGCTCATTTGTCACCTTCTACTTCACCCCAGTGAAACTCCATCTGTATTTGTGTATGTATTTCACCTCCTTCCAGATATGAGAATATAAAAAAAAACAATCAAAAATAATTTTTCTTTCATAATAATCTCTCCAATGCGATAATATTATTACTGTATGGTTACTTTTATTCTACAAGAAGGAAGATCAATTATTCTCCTCCAGATTGTCAGCTCATAATGAATAAACATAACTTGTTTATAAGACACTGTGTAAAATACTTTTTAGACATAGACATAATAATCTCAAATGCATGCAGGCTTGTACCAAATTAGGGCTGATTTCTATTTTAATCCAACCCAATCTTTATGTTAAGACTATCATATTAGTTCTTAGTACTGTAACTTAACCAGAGGTCTCCCATCAACGCACGCCAGCAAAGCACAGCCATTCCTCGTGTTGCAGATGTCCTTAGGAGACAGTGATCACTAACCGTCAGATAAGTGACCTACTCTTCATCTAGCATTACATTTACGACGACCAGATTGGCGTGAGGAGTGGTAAACCTGCCTATTGCGCCAGAGGGTGTGGGTTCGATCCTCACTACTGGTAAAATATTGTTTGATGAACATAGGGTCTGGGTGTTTGTTTATGTATAATGGGTATTTATTTACAAAAGAATTAGATTTATCAGTTTTCTAGTACCCATAGTACAAGCGTTGCTTAGTTTGTGACTAGAGAACATTGTGTAAAAAGAATGTGAAATAACAGCTTATAAATGTCCCACTGCTGGGCAAAAGGCTCCTCTGTAAAGAGGGTGTCAGGGCATAGTCCACCACGCGACCCCCCTGCGTATTGGCGGACTACACATATTTTCGATATGTTTTTATTTATTACAACCTCGAAAATACGCAGGTTTCCTCATGTTTTCCTTCACCGCAGAGCATGCGATAATTCAGCACTTAAAATTAACAATTTCATTGGTGCTGGCACCGGGGACCGAACTCGGGTTGCTCGAGTAGATGCAATTAGAGGCGGGCCGCGCGGACACTGAGCTGTCGCGGCCTATATTAGTCTGAAACATTGTTTGAATAATATAAACATACCACTGTTTCTTCAGGTCGGGCGTGTTGAGTATCTCCTGAACCAGCCGGGATCCGTACAGGGGCGGGTTGGAGTACATTGTGCGGATCATGATCTTCACCTGGGACATCACCTTAGCCGCTGACTCAGCGTCACCGCAGAGCAACGTCAGCGCCCCAGCGCGCTCCCCATACAGACCTGGAATCGAAACGACCATTACTGTCGACATTTCTCATACAAACGATGTTTTGACGGTTAATGACGGCGCACAATAAAAGAATGGACAGATTGTTAAATGGCTGTCACATTTCCGTATAAGAGAACACCATATACTAGTTAGACGGTTGAGTTAATGTTTAATTGGGAAAATCTTGACATTTAACTAAAATATAAACTTTTCGAAACGTAACGTATCCAAATGTACGTATGCGATCGTTCACCGTAATTTCGAAAGACAAAAAAAATTACCAAACAAAAGCTTTTTTCATATTTCATGAATCCTTACCAATATTATAAACGCGAAAGTTTATATGTATGGATGGATGTTTGTTACTCTTTCACGCAAATACCACTGAATGGATTTTAATGAAACTTTACAATAATATAGCTTATACATCAGAATAAGACATAGGCTATAATTTATGTACATATTTTATTTATATCTTTCTTTCTTCCTGTATGAATGTTACGCCTCCAGCCTATTCCACGCAGACGTAGTCGCGGGCAGCAGCTAGTAAATTATAAATGAAACATTATACATATTTTAAATATTTCATGAATCATATTATGTATATTTATAGAGCAATAAGTGACATGAAAACAATGCATATTTAGATAATTATTAAAAACAAGCTGATGTAACAAACAAAGTCAAGATTTGATAATAGGGGTCAGGGACAGGGTGCAGAATCTATCTTTTGTTATAAACAACATTTGAAACCGGCGTTAGTGTAAAGTAAAGATATATACATATCACGCAATTTACTATAACGTACATTAAAAACTAATTTGTTGCCCTCTGCATCTCACACTTAATTAAAGAAATAAAAACCGCCCAAGTGCAAGTTGGACTCGCGTACGAAGGGTTTCCTACCATTATTTATGAAAACGGCAAAAAAAAATCATGCCTGTTGTATGTATGGGAGCCGCACTTAAATATTTTTTTATTCTGTTTTTAGAGTTTGAAAGTTTGAAAGTTTGAACTCTATTACCCTTTTACCCGGGTATTGATACCCAAAGGGTAAAACGGGAACCCTATTACTAAGATTTCGCTATCTGGCTCTTTTTTCTTCTTCTGGTAGTCCAAAATAATGGTAAAAAAAATTTTTGTCCATTACTTTGGCACTGTTAATTCTACCCCTGCCGTTTCTGAAGAGGTGGGCCTCCTCTTCGTAACATGCAGAGCAAAGTTTGGACCAATTTGCCAGCTTCCTTCCCTTCCAATTACTGATGCTGAGCCGGTATGCCATATGTATACCACCTAAGATTATATCTCAACACACAGTACAGTACAGTGTCCGGTATAGTTCTAGTTTATTAGGTTGTTAGTCTAGGTTCTCTCTCACTGGTAGTTTTTGTGCAAGAGCAACCCTCAAATAGAATTCTTACATTACATTTGCCACATATTGACGTAAGGATTTTTTGTCCTCTAAGTGACCTCCAAATGCTTGGGTATGCATATCATGCTTAAGTATGTTTTAATATCAGACGGATTGCTATAAATTGATGCCACCGCGGCACAGTTGCCAAAATATCGGCTTCGGCGTTGGGCGTCGTGGGTTCGATTCCCACACGGAACAACTGTATTTGCGACCCACGGATAGTTGTTTCGCATCTGGGTGTTTGTCCGCGTGAAATTTATGTTTGTAAAACGCCCTTACAACACAGGATGGTGACGTCCTAAAGTAAGGGCGATGTTTAAAAAAAATTCTAGTGATGGGACATAATTATTACGACGGCTCACCCATGTTCTTGGCGAAACTCTGCGCAAGTATGACCTGGTGGCCTTCCTTCACGAAGTGGCGCACGGCGAAGGCGTCATTGTCGACGTTGCCCGTTGCGAAGCCCTGGTACGCCATGTCGAAGAATGGGAACAGCTTCCTCTCTTTGATCGCCTGGGGAAGTGGACATTCACAGTGAAACATAGACAAAAACTAAACTACTCGACTGCTGTAGGGCCACGCACGGGGCCGGATTAAGAGGTCCTGTTGCCTTGGGACTTGCAACAAAGGAGTGGGGCCCCTTGGCCCCAAATTGTTTTTCAAATAAAATTTACAGTTTTCTTCAGTCGAGTTTTCGATTAAATAATTTATTATGAAACCAAGTATAAATATGAAAAGTTGTTTTCTAGCGTTTATTAGTCTGAATTTGAATTTTTTTTCCGAAGTCTCTATTGTGGGAGCCCCTCTTTTGTCCTAAATCCGGCCCTGGCCACGCAACATCCTGCTGTTGCACGAACGGTCAGGCTCATCCGGGAAAGTACCGCGAAGAGTTACGCTTTCGCGTTTCGTTTGGTGCGTGAGCTAACCGGGCGCCACATTTTTAAAAGTTGTCAACGCATCAGCCAGCCATCAGGTGCTGCAGATGTCGATGGGCGGCGGTATTCATTTAACATCAGGTGGACCGCATGCTCGCCAGACAAATTTTCACATAGATTAAAATATACTTCTGGCGTAGGAGGCAAACAAGCACGTGATGCTAAATGAATACTCGAAACAAAAAAAAATTGCCGGCCTTTAAGGGATAGGCTCAGTTAGAGGCTCCCAAGTCGTATTACTCCGCTTGTGGCAGGAAATTCCACTAAAAGCGCTCACTGGTATATCTCACTGATCGTCAAATCATGGTATTGACCGGTGATCATGGTAACCAAATCTTTTAAAGGGTCTCAACGCGTCTGCAAACCCTTAGGTCTTGTAGATGTTCAGGTGCGGTAATCACTTAACATTTTATCTAGTGGATACACATGGAGAACATCATCATTAAAGTTAAGTTGATAGTACAAAAAACTTACATGTTGAAAACTGTACTTCAAACATTATTAAGGCGTTTATTATAATCGCGCGTCTAATTATCTAATACAGCTTTATCTCCACTAGCCACTTTAAACTTGAAACACGTCACAAAATCAAGACACGTTTTATCTTATCGCCACTGGGAGACATAAAAAAACATTGCACACAACATGCAATCAGCTTCTATATAGAATGTATAAACAGTCTTTTAATTTTCATTTATTCCGCTGAAAAACAAGAAAACTAATTCATCCGAACTAATGGGATCAATTGCATCATTGCATAATATTAGCTTTCTGCACAATCGCTGCATTCAGAACCTTTATAAACAAACAGTAACGAAATCAAAAATGGGTTTCTGGTAAAAAGATTTAGAACCAAGACAAGTATTTCGACGATACCTTACGCTTTAGCGAGATATGTTTTAAATACTTAAACAAAGCAAACGTCATAAAGAGGCTCTAAACACAATGTTGTATTAAATGTAAACCTGCAGGGAAGAGACAAAGAGGAACACAAAAAAGGACGTCTAAAAAGAAATCGGTGGAAATGCTGGGCGAAAGAAGTTATTGTCACAACCCTTAGAAGAAAAAAGGGATGAACCGAACTGATATCAACGTACCTGGGACAGTTGCTCCCAATCGCTGGGGCGCGGGTCACCCCGGTAGGGTTGTGCGCGCACGCGTGCAACAAAATTATAGCGCCCTCTGGAATTTTCTGCAAACAAAATAACAGGATATTCCGTTTAGTTTAGTAGTCTTTATTTGCATATTAAACGTAAACGTTTCGTAAACAGGTTTCCCAACGATGTTTTCCTTCATCGCTGAGCACATGATAGGTATGCCCTTAAAATTAACAATATCATTGGCACATTGATTTAAAAGAGAGCGTCCTTACACCGAGCTGTCACACCTAATAATTAGTGACCTTGAAAGTTGTATTTATTTGTAAAGAACAAATCAATGCAAATTTGATTGCAATCAGTGTTTTAGCTCAATGGATTCAATCTTTCAGATGACTATAATAAAATATATCACTATAATAAAATTAATAATACCCTTTAAAACATAAATCACTTCGGCTTCGTTGATGAGTTATTTCGTTCATCTATTAATGTTAGTACCCGGAGGACCGAGCTTTGCTCGGTTTGGTTTTTTTTTTGGTAAATCGTGTATTTTGGAAATTACATTTAGATACAAATTACTGAGTAATGAAATATGCATAATATTTTTCGATTACCGACGTAATAATAAGAAAATATGGACTGATGTTTTTCACAAAAGAAAGAACTTTAAAAAAAAAAAGGTAAAAAATAACAAAATAACAAATCGACAAAAAATTAAAAATAAAGAAAGCAATGATCTGGAATAGAAAAAAAAGTAAAAAAATAAATGTGTAAAATGATCGTCACGCGAACCACGGCCGTCTGTTTTGGGGCCGCCCGATTACCGACCGAGCTATTATGACATTTTCTATTGCGGTGAAATTTACCGTCATATTCGAATTATATTTTTCATTCCCTGAAAACAGGGAAAAATTACATTTCCTAAAAATGAAACCTAGCTATATCGATTTTTCGCCCCCGAATCTACGCACATACTAAATTTCATGAAAATCGCTGGAGCCGTTTCCGAGATTCCGATTATATATATATATACAAGAATTACTCGTTTAAAGGATAAGATAATCGTCGTCACCCAAGCTTTACGCTACTATTACATAAATTATACAATCTGGTATTATCGATCATACGATGATCACGTAATATATACGTGTTACGGCTAATCTTGCACAAAAATCTGCGATATCACACTTCCTCGGTCTATATACTACGAAGGGAATTATTAAATTATCGACGTTACAACGTAATCTGAATTGTAAGTAGATAAGTTTCCCCCATTGTATTAATTTGATCCCAGTTCGTATTAATAATATTACAAAGTGGAAAGTTTGTGATTTTAATTAGATTTTAAGATATGAAACTAGTTTTTTAAAGTTTTTTATAGTGCTAATCTCTGTTTGTTTTTTTTTTCTACATGTTTTAATATGAAACTAGTGTTAAAGAAATAGAGAATATCTCGCTCTATTCTCGCTTTATACTTAGTTTTATGTATTTATTTAAACATATTCATATTCCGCAACACTTTTGTCCCATATAAATTCATTATTTTAGCAAAGAATCACCGAAAGCCTGGGGTAAAGTTAAAATTAAATATATGCATGTAATGAAATATAAAAAAAGAAATGGGATTTCAAACACATCAATTACACTATTGTTCATAAAAAGGTTGGACTCATGTCTATTATAAACTGTTATGAGCTATTGCTTAACTCTAAAATTTTAGAAAAAGAACGAAATGATCGTCGCCGCTCTGGGAATCGAACCCACGTCTTCGGCATTCGCGGCCTGACGCTCTAGCCACTGAGCTAAACGGCTGATTGCCACACCGACGCAAATCTTAACGCCTTTTATCTACATTGTTTTTAGCATTTGAAACAATGCTGGGCGCATCCATTGTTTTATCCTTTCCAGGATGCAAACTGCAAAGATTAGCACTATAAAAAATTTACATTGCTAAACTTGGCAATAATTGCTTGCACCTGGTAAAAATCGATATTATATGTATACATGAAATTGGATCAGATTAAAATTGAATTGCAGTCATCTGTTTGTACTATTACGAATTGTATTATTACGGTAGTTTGTATGAGGGAACAACCCTAGCAGAAGTTAAGTATTTTAATTATGATTAAGGTATTATACCTTATAAATGATATAAATTTTTAATTTACACACCGACCTAACAAACTTGCCCTGCTCAATTTTATTTAAATTGTTGTTATATCCAATTTTGGAAAAGCGGGACAATTACTTTGGAATCGGCCAAAACCATTATCGTATAACGTATATCTATTTTTGAACGCATACATATATCTATTATTGAAGACGCCTTATCGCAGAAGTTCACAAGGATCAATTCCGTGGAATGTGAATAAACAAGACACGATGGGACGGTGCGTATTACGGCCTCACTAAGACTACGGTCATGTGTCACGTAGACTCTTTTCTTGGCCTTTGAAACTACGAAGTACTCAACTTGCAAAGGAACGAATGCAATTTCAATTACAGGCAAACTCAAATTGTGTGGTTAAAGTACCCGAGATTTATAATAATCTGGTATGCTATTGCTCAAACACGTGTTATTTTATAGATTACCTTAATTAATAAATCAATTAAAACAAGCTACGACTTTCTCAAAATATTCATTTTCACTTTGAATGTCCGCTAAGCATTCTGTATTAAAAACTTTTACATCTAACTCTGCCACGTGCCAAAATATGATAGATACATTTTTAATTTAAGTTAATCCCATAGGAAAGTAAATTAAAAGCCTATATTTGTCCCACTCCTGGGTAAGGCCTTTTCGGCCTAAAGGCCTTCTCTGTACAGTGGGTATAAAGGCATAGCGCACCACGCGACCCCATGCGGATTGGCGGACTTTACTTCGAAATATTTTTTTTGTTATTATTTCAAAATTATTATTTCACTGGTGCCAGCACCGGGGATCAACTCGGGTTGATCTAGAATTAAAAGCGCACTATCACGGCTCAGTTAATCCCATATATAGTTGTGTTTACTGTAACCATCATGAGGGTGGGATACATGATCTGTTATTACAAAATGTTATTTTAAAACCTAGAGAGAATTGAAACTCACACAGATGTCTTCTAGGGCGCCCTGCAAGTCGAAGCCGTTGGTCTTCGGGTCGAAGTAGCGGTACTTATTGTGCGGGATGTTCAGCGTGTTGCAGATCTGCGGGTGGTTGCCCCAAGTGGGCGACGGCATCCACACCTCCTTCGTCTTCGCGTAGTGCTTCGTGATGAATTCCAAGCCGAGACGCAGCGCCCCGGTGCCGGACAAAGTCTACAAAACGAAATAAAACGATGACGAAAAAAGTAAACACAACAACAACAACCACAATAACAACAACAACCGCAACAACAACAGACTATCGCCTTCCACTGCTTAACGTAAGCCTCCCCTAAAGTGCGCCCCTTTGTGCGTGGCCGTCCACCGCTAACCACCTTTCTTCTACAGCCGACATTACATACGTGTGGAGAGGCCGTTCTACACTACGTTTGCCTAATCGTGGTGTCCACTGTAACACGTTTCGGCTCTACAGCGACCATTACAGTACGTCTGGAGACATGGCCAGCCCACTTCCATTTCGGCGTGATAGTTCAAAAGTTAAAATTTCATTTTTCATTCGTATACGTTTCATATGTAAACACCTACGGTGATAAAGACAAAGTAACGGCCCGCACATTTTGTATTTTGTGTGCAAAGGGTCTAGCGGATGTATTGTAATCTTTTCTTCGAAAACATTGCTCTCTCACTCCAGTAACCTACAGGACAGCCCACACATATAGGTCAAACTGCTGTGGCTTAAGCGATGTGAATTATGGCAGGTATTTGCTTTCTGGAATGTTCATTTACAGCGATTCCGATCCAAATAATTGAGGGTTGCCACCGAGCCAGTGTCCCAGGTGGGGCAATAGTGGGGCCGCGTGGTGGAATATGCCCTGATACCCTCTCTCTGACACCTTCTCACTGCGTAGTATTAGTAGCCTCAGAGTAGGGGTCGTTTAGAGTATAATGTGGAAGGTTTAAATAATAAACTACGAATATTTCGTTTCCGAAATTTGAAGATTTTTAGGCTTCATTTGTGCATTAAATATTTAAAAGAATTCCACTTTTTCATTTAACAATACAATAATATACTTTAATTCTATGAGATTAAAGTAACAAATAACTAACGGATGACTGTCCGTTCGTGTAACCCCGATGTAAATCACGTGACGAACAGCTGACAGACTTCTGTCAGAATTTGAAATTCCTAGAAAAGGATTCGTAAAAGACCTAGAATTAAAAAATGTGTGACCGAAAATTGTATGCAAATTCGAGTACTGCAGTTCGATTAATAAATAAAAACCTCGTAGGAACATAGATACTAAAATGTATAGAGTAATTGGAATAATTGTTTCGGCAAAAACTATTTATTCACGAAACATTCTAAATATATACAATACATATTATATACAGCTTTGTAAAAATTATGCTGCAAGGGGATTCAAAATAGACTTTGGCGTTGTGCCGCGTACAATTCGGTGCAATATTATCGCCTAGGCAACCGGCAATCATAATAGATTGATGCTCAAAAATCAGCTAACATAATTCTATTAAACTAGTGGTGGTCGTCTAGTGGTCGAGTATCGACCATAATTAATTTTACATGATGTATGTGTAATGTTTTTTTTTTTATTGATTTAATGTATTTTTTATGCATAACTTTAAAAAAAATATTAACATTCTGCTCTCGTTCTCTAAATAAACTTTAAAATGTTGGAAATTTTCATACTCGTCCATCCGCGCATTTTTCCTCATAACGGGTGCAGTTTTTGCTTCACGTATGATTGTAACGAAATATTGTCTTTGGAAAAACATGTTGAAATTTAATAAGCCAAATAATCTACAAACCAGAATAATCATTTAAGATTTTAAATCAAAAAGGTAACTACAGTCCTACTCAGAATTCTAATAGCTTTAAAACTATGCTAGGTTTATGTGTGATTTAGTATTATATATAATCAATGACATTATTAAATACAGATACGAGGTAGATATGCACTAGCACGCCGAAATTCAGGCACTCAAATGACGCCAATTAGTGTAATTAGATTCTAATTGTATAGACTGCCATCTCTTTCTGTATCACATGTTGTATATCATCTGTCATATTCACTCATACTTGTCATATGTAAAGCGGAACAATATTTAAACGCCGCGCAGTATGGACATGCATCATCTGTATTAAAACATCATTGGATCAAGTTGACAAGTCTTAAAGAAAGTTTTAGTTCTTCTTCGCATGATTTATATAGTTAAAGTTAATTTCAATACCAAATTACTCCATTATTTCTCTATATGTTGAATAAATATACCTTTTAGGCTATAGCAATCCTATAAATATTTAAAATATAAATAAATTCTTCTCTATGTTGATAATCTTGGCACTTATTCAAATTCCGACAGACAGTAAACAAAAGATAAGTAAACCAATGACATTGAGCCAAGCTTTCCCTTTCAATTGCAGAATTGACTATTAATAGGTACTTGATGTTTAATTTTATCAGTAATGAATGCAGACCCATTTGATATAAACTAAAAATAAAAAATAGAATGAGGCCTGTTGTAAATATTATGGCTAGTTTTTAACTTACCTGGACAGTACAATTGCTTTTTGATTTGATAACGGGGCTGTCTTCTCCAAAGGCAAGTTTTGCAACAGCATCTGTGTATGCTGCCTCACCTCCAATCGGGGCATACTCATGATTAAGATGTTTCTTATGAACAATTTCTTCCGCCTACATAGTGCAGGAAAATAGAAAATATTTTTGATTTCAAAATTAAATTTACAATTACCTATGTTGTAGAAAAAAAACTAAAAAAGCTGTTTAAACATTTATTTTAAAGTTTCAGAAATTTTACCACTACAATGTTATTTAAGAAGATTTTTTCAAATATTTCAAGTAAAAATAAATATTTTTTTTTTGTTTCCAAACAATTCAAAACTTTTTTAAAGTGATTATTTATAATAATTGTATTCTGTTATTATACTTTTGTTATTAAAAAAATATATTATACATATGTGAGATATACCAATGTGAGACATGATTATATTCATAGAGCTTAAATTATATTTACCATTCTCACTGAAGGCAAAACAAATGGTTTGCCTGCATCGTCTCTGTATGCTCCAACACCCAAGTTAACTTTATTTGGATGAGTATCCCTTTTATAGGCTTCCGTTATACCTAAAATGACATCCGGTGGCCCCATCTGCACATTGCTCCACCAAGTACTGTGAAATAAAAAACATATTTTAAAAGACCCAGATGCAGCTTTCATTATTATATACTACTTTTAATAAGTATTTATCTAATTAGAATCTTAATAGGAGTATAGCCATAGTAAAAAATAGTTCATAAATAGTTAAACACATTAACCATATTTTATATGCAACAGCTTCTGCTTTTGTACAAATAGGCAGGCTCATCTGAGGTGTACCACAGCCTCACATAAGATCGGCGTGAAGTAGAAATATTTTGCTTTCATGTGCCATGTGGTGAATAAGGTTAACCGGTTTAAAAGTTAGCAACTCCGGGTAATCATTTAACATCAGGTGTACCGCCAGCTCGTTTGCCAACGATAGAAAAAATAAAGAAAAACAGCAAACACTGGAATCAGCTTTTTTCACTGTCACGTTCATAGTATATAATACATCGCCAGGCGGCTTACGTATACGTACTTAATCGAACTTTCATTACACATAGATTGTATACGCATCCAAAGATGTAGTAGGAAAAATTTTAAAATTTCGTAGACACGTTAACTCATATTTCCATGACAATAACAATGTTACGTAATTAAAAAACGCCGGTATCTCACCTGTTAGCCCGCAGGGCGGTCCCACCGAGTATGTTTTCTACATTATTAATTTTAAGTACTTGAACTGTAACCTTTTTTAGTACTTGGGTCATTGTATTTATTTCGGACACTCGATCACACTTATACGGATACTAATGAGAGCTTCGCTGAATCCGCAATTTAATATAACAACGTTTAAGCGAGTAGCGACCGATAGCTAAGTTTAGTTAGTTACCTGATATATTTTTATTAGCTCCCAAAATTTATTACTTTTATTTTATTGAAGACAATGAGTACCTATAATTATTAATTAAAAGTGTGCTCATGTGCTAGTACAATTTTGTTTAGGATTAAGCTCGCCTTTATAAAGTCCTTTTTTTAATTGTTCATTTGTAACTGTGATTTATATGGACAAAAAATCGATTAAGTTAGTTTTTTTTTAAAAAAATGGCCACTCTTCTTATAATATTTTCACATTGCTACAAGCTTTTATGTATAATTAAAAAAAATAGTAAATATTTTTATATAAACACTTAAAGTGGATGTTTGGACATTATAACTTTAAACGTGCAATAGCTGTAAAATTTAATTCAGTAATGATTATATAGTTATTATATACGAGCTATTTTTACATGAACAATCTACTGATTAGTTGTTATGTATTTCCGAATATTTTAAATGTATAAAACGATATTTTATATTCCCCAAAATGGAGAAGACTATTTATTAAGGGCAATATTGGTTTTAAAATGATTGCTGTTTACGTCAGCGCAAATATGACAGTGATATATTCAACCAGACAGGTGGGTTCCGTACACTAAAAATTTGCTAAAAATATTTTAATAATTTAAGAATTTATTTTGTGATCATTGTCTAAAAATATATACATATATTACTAATATTGTATAAAGCGATCGGTGCACCGGACATATACTGTCACGAACCATACATTTAAATATTTAGCGTTTTCTTTACAAAGGACACTTTTGTCTACTTTTCTTTATATATTTTTATAGCCTTTATTTCTTTGTGGTAATTTTCTACAGGGTAGGGAAAACGGTATATATTTACTTGGTACCATAACAAATTACATACCCAATATAGTATGACGTTTTTCCTATTTAAAATTTATTATCTTCTTTCTCCTGTCCTTATCTAACATTAGGTGGGGTCGACACAACAAATAAAATAAATTATAATTTAAAAATTCTTATGTGTTATAAATGTGTTATCGAGGTCGAAAATCTACCACTTCGAAAATAATATTAATCTGAATTCGTATTCACCAGCGAAGGTAAATCGCGTTTACCGGTGAAGGCATAGCAACTTTGCCAACGAACGCAACATTCCCGAGTTAAAGCGAACATACATTTAGAATTGCGTACACCGTTTTGTTCTTGTTATTTAATAGCGCATATCATCGTTTGCTCGTTATGAAACTGCGAAGCTTTTGTCTCTTATCCTGAGTTCATTTAGGGTATATCATTATATTATATATATCATTAAACTTGTACATTTACAATCTCCTTCATTACTTCATTTTAAAAAACGTTATAACGTTCCGTTCGGTATATAAAAATACATATAGGTTCTGAGTCTGTCCAAAACTGAATAATTTTTATTTATCTGACATTTACAAGATAAAATCTATCCAAAATTACATATTATCTAATAAACCTAATCCACGCGGCATGGTGTCAAGAACGCTAGCTGTACTTCCTCGCCGAATGAAGAACCAGCTTTCTTGTTACCAGCCGCGGCGTTAAGCTTAGGTCATCAATTTTGGTGTGCCAGGACACACGGACCCAAACTTCAACAGCAAATAGCACATAATTATACAATATCTAAACATCGAGACTCATTATTACACTATTTGCGCCATTACTTTTCTTCAGCTGCCTCCGATGACGCCCCGGCCATGACCGAAATACCCCTTAGATGAGAGGCAGGCAAAGTGTACACAAGTAGCATCCCAAACAAGGACTTTGCCTCTCCCCAAGGGATCCAAGTCAAACCATTTGAGCCTTTTGCAATCGTCGTGAAAAATGCCACAGGGAACCGTGGAGGGAGGGGAGGGAGGCAAAATTTGCCTATATTGACACCACAGGGGCATTGGTGTGGTAGGTTGAAAAGCTGGTGCCCTCAGACGGGTTCTTAACTTCTTAACTAGCAATGTGCCCAAGTTAATAATATAATCTGTCTTAATTTATTATCTACACTGTGAATAGAAAGCCGGAATGTCAAATTTATTATGACGTTCATCGTTTTGCACTGAAAGAAGTAACGAATTAAGTGTTTATTTTGTAAAGTAATTCAAAAATATGGCTGCTGAAATTAAGCCTGCTCCAAGAACTCCAAATGATAGATTTTCTACTACAAAAAAACCAGCACTTTTGAGCAAACTAGAAGGTTGCACCGATGATGTCAATGCTGCAGTGGTCATACCTGGCGAGGATGGAGTTATTAGCGTTTGTGATGATAAGTAAGCGTATTTAACATTTACTTTATGCCGTCATAGGATGCAAATATACAAAATTTTAACTAGATTGTTAGCTCTAAGTAATGAATTAGAATATAATAAAAGTGGTGCAGTTTGTACCCTCATAAATCACTCTAATTTGCATTGGTTTTTTGCTTTCTTGCTGTGCCTGTATGGTCTTTGTTACTTTCATTAAAGCAAAGAGTTGTATAATGTATATTAATATAAGGGCATTTATATATGTGTGTATATATATAATTTTAATTGTAATAAGTATATTAGAATTTAATATAATAGAATTTTAATTGTACATTACCTTTAATATAATAAGTATATTTACCTTTAATATAATGCTATGTTCTCAGTTACTTAAAATTCTCAGTTACTAAATAACATAAAATTGTATTAATAATTAAATAACTTTCTTATTTCACAAAATACGCATACCAAAAACACTATTTGTGTTTTTGTTTTAAGGAGTAGTAGTTTAGAGAGAAAATTTTCATAAAATTCAGTATTTTAGAAAATGTATTAGCTTATTGTTTTGAAGCATCTGATGTCTCATCATCTTCATCAAAGGTGTCACAGCCATGGCAAGGCATTGACCTCTTCATCAATGAGCCACCCCTTGTCCTATTCATATCATGACATCATCTAGGTTTTGTGTTTGTTTCTTGTACACATTATATACTAGCTGTTGCCCGCGATTATGTCTGCGTAGAAAAGGCTGAAGGAGTAACATTAAGACAGAAACACAGATATACATAAAATATGTATATAAATTATAGTCTTATTCTGATGTATAAGCTATATTATTGTAAAGTTTCATTAAAATCCATTCAGTAGTATTTGCGTGAAACAGTAACGAACATCCATCCATACATACAAACTTTCGCCTTTATAATATTAGTAAGGATTTGTTAGTAAAAATCAATTTTACTCCATAGGACTGTTCGAGTATGGCTGAAACGTGATTCTGGGCAATACTGGCCTAGCATTTGTCAGTATATGCCTTCTGGTTGTACATCAATGTTCTATACACCAGAGACACGTCAGTTATTTATCGGTCAGGAAAATGGAACTGTTTCAGAGTTTACACTTGCTACAGATTGCAATAGAATAAATCCTGTAAGTTTAAAATATTTTGGATTGCTATTTTGATTCTTTAATATTTTTTACACTTACATCTGATAATTGATATTAACACAGTAATTTAATGAAATGACCTTCAGTTTTGTTTTGTAGGATGTTAGTTTAATGTGTTTAATTCAACTATAGTTAACCAAACTTGCCACAATTCTTATTGATATTTGCTGGAAGCATCATTTTCCCAATAAAAGAACATACTTATTATACAGTGTGTAGTTACAACCATGACAATAAATGAACACACATATATAGGATAACTTTACGAAGTTATTAAATTTTCCAAAACTAACATTTTTAGAACACCCTTAGGTATAAAAGGGTAGTGTAAAGTTCATTTGTAAAGGTCATAAAGCATATAATCAAATTCATTCAACACAATCGCGTTGAATGAATTTGAGAGAGATAAAACATACAGTTAGAAGGAGATATTTGTAGTGCAACACTGCGGCAACAAATGAAAAAGTGTCTGAATGTATGAATCAGTCAGTTGTAGTTGTATATGATGTTTTTGTTAAAATTTTTGTTTCTTTTTTATTTAATTAGTTTGTTTGAAAAATATTTTTTTTAATTATGGATTTTTTTAACGTTTTATATTTTTTATGATTATTGGCAAGTAGCGTTAGATGTGTGTTAATTAAATGTCGCAGTGATAACGACACGCTGTATTTATTGCTTTTCTTTCATATTTGGGTAGCCTACCCAAATATGAAAGAAGGCTTACAAGAATTTAGCTTCTGCAAATTGTAATTTCTACCTAGCATTTATGTTGTCTTACAAATGATTTCCTTTTAATCCAAACACTTGTATATGTTGGATGGAAATAGAATAGAATCTAAATAATATTTTTTTAAGTTATTGAATAGTATAACATAAACGAAAATGTCTTCAAATGATTTACAGAGTCGAGAGTATCTAGCACATACAGCACGAGTGACAGCAGTGGTTTTTTCGCTAAGCTGCGAGTGGGTTCTCTCTGTCAGCCGCGATAAGCTTTTTGCTTACCACTGCAGCGAAACCGGCCGCAGGGTTGGCGGCTACTCCTTTGAAGCCTGGTGCACTGCATTACAGTATCCTTTTTAATACCTTTTCAGATGAAACACTGTGTAACACTAACTTTAAGCCCATCTGTGAGGTTGTGGTTTTTCCCCGGATGGAGCATTTGTGTAACAGCAAAGACTATTGTATGGCCCTACCACAGTAAAATATTTATGTATATTCCCTGTGAATGAATTGTAAGAAGCATCAAATTCGTATTTTATAAAGTACACAATTGAAAAGAATGTGTAACTATATGTGTATACAATTGAGGAGCGTTTGAACAACAACTGATATATCACATTTGTTTGGGAAATTAAAATATAATACATATATCTATGGATTTCCAATTTAGAGATGAACAAAGTTTACTTCTTTATAGGTCTTGGTAACACTGTTTTGATATGCAAATAGATTTATGTGTGTAGTATGTGATGAGAAATTTAAAAAGAACAAAATAGATTTATCAGTTTTTAATCGGACTTACGGATATTTCCTTGTATAACATTATATATTTTTAAATGTATTCGTTTCAAATCTCGCATTCCTTCTAGATTTTTATAAAATGTTTCTAAGTGTTTGACATTCTTAAAACTCCAATCATAACCCAATAATAAAAGTGCCCCATGTGTACTAAAAATCTTAGGATATGGATTTGTCAGTTTTCAACCTACCAAATGTATGACCCACGGAAATTTCTAAGGATTTGTTGGTGTTGATGTTCCAATCATGAAACAATTCAATTGATTTATCGGTTTATGTTCTGATAAGTGTGTTTCTAGAATGTCTTAAAGACGACTTTATTAATTTATAAATAGATTTGTTATTTATATGTTATCAAGCAGCATTGTGTGCATTGGTTGTATTTAAAATGATGGGCTTGAATGTTACAATAATGTCTTTTTCATGTAACATTGGTTGATAATGCAGCTATCAAATACCCGAGCGTTTCCTAAACGCGTGTATCAGATTCGATTCGCAGTCGAAATATGCGTTCGTCGGCGATTACAGCGGCCAGATAACAATGTTGAAGTTAGACAATAATGGAGCAGCACTAGTCACCACATTTAAGGGGCACACGGGGTGAGTGATAAGATTAAGCTCTCACAAATTTAATAGGTAAATAATGCGCGCCATTTTGTTAGTGCATAATTATTTGATTTGGAATTTAATTATGTTTTATTACATTGCAAATCATGTATCTCAGCTCAGCCACTAGAGTCTAGGCCATCATTGACTTGATTTCAAATGTGATGAATAAAACAATTAATAATTTTATTAAACCCATTCAGGATTAAAGCCTAAATATCCTTAATATCCTAATCGGGTTACAATTAGGATATTTAGGAGTTTTGTTAAAACAACGCTGTATATCAGAGTGATCATTATTGTCCTACCTTCATTACTAACCCTAATTTCTTCATTAACCCACAGACTATTAGCTAGACTCTAAGTACATTAGTTATATTAAGCTTCTTTTTTAATGTATTTGTTTACAATGTGTGTGCAATAAGAGTTATTCATTCATACATTTGTCCTCAGCTCAGTGCGAGTTCTTAATTGGGCGCCTATACCTCAACTGTTGTTTAGCGGTTCATTCGATCAGAGTATTATTGTTTGGGATATCGGTGGGCAGAAAGGGACGGCCTATGAGTTGCAGGGCCACAGGTGAGATACTTAAATCGAATATTTTTTTCTACTCGTAAATACTAGTAATAAGTAATATTGCATATAAGTAGTTTATTGTATTTAATAATATTGTATGTGTTTATGTATTACTTAATTTCTTAAGCTTTTTTAATGTACGTAGAGAGCCAATTGGATATTCCGGTGAAGGCATCATTTAATATTTTAAAAGCATTTTTTAGTGCATTTACAACGAATATTTGGTATTAGGTCTATACGGCAACTTTTATCATTGACCTAATATCAAATATTAGTTTATTTTTTAATAATGTATTTTTCTTATACTCATTAAATGTATGTCCTCTCGAATTATCGTAATTATATTTATAAGTAAAAAAAGGTTATAGTGTAAAAAGTATAATTTAGTCTATATTTTAGGCAGTACTTTACTCCTTTTCTTTCTTCACGACACTTTCGGATAATAGTCGTGTTCTTCGTAGTATTTTCATAGCCTATATTAACTTACTCAATTTTACTCTTAAACTAATCCAAAGGTAGAGAGTACGATGAACTTTAATTTTTGCTGTGACTGTGTCCAAACTAAATTACACAAAACCAAGCACGGCCAATCACACAGCACGGGCACCTAATGCATTTGCGTAATATTTGGCTATTGGGCCAAAAATCCTGCCGAATATCCCGCATTGGGCTGGTGGCCGAATACACTATTAAGTTCAAGCCTAATTTATAATCATTAGTAAATGTGTCTTAGGAAATACCCACGAGGAGGCTCAGCGTCCCGGTATTTTCAACCACCCCTACCAACCAACATTAAGGGAGCATACGAAAGGGTGATATAAGTAATGATGACGATGAAACGACTCCTCAGCAACAAGGTGACTGGGCTGTGGTACGTCGGCGGCTGCGAGCGGCTGGTGTCCGCTGGTGAGGACGGCGCCATGGGGGTCTGGGAGATGGGCGTCAAGAGGCGCGAGACGCCCGCTTGGCGCGAGAGCGACCTCTGCCAGCTCTGCCGCGCCCCCTTCATATGGAACGTCCGCGCTATGATGGAGAGGAAGCAGCTGGGTAATGACACCTTCGCTTCTCTCTGCCCATTCATCTCTCCTGCCTTTCCCCTAATCAATCTCTCTCAATCATCCCCCCCCCCCCCCCCTCTGGCTACTTTTTCACTACTGATATGTCGCATAGTATGCCTTTTCCCCCTCGCGGTGAAGGCGTAAACGTATCAGTTACAGACTGTAATTTTTTTTCACATGTACTTTACACTTGTTACAGTGTCAAAATGTTTCGTTTGAATTTTATTTGTATCAATAAGAACACGATCGATGGTGGTACGAATTGTGAATTTTTTGTTTCAGGCGATGGAAGGAATAATTTAGAGGTTTTTGTGTTTTTAATGTCGACGCTTTTAGCGGAGGAATTTATTGGTGGGACAAAGCCACCGCTTCGAATTCGAAAATAATACATCACATCGATTTGAACGACATCGCAACATTTCTCCAATACATATCAGAACGTCGACATTCGACGATGTCGCGTTACTCGTACTCGTCGCGCCTCAATATGAACTCTACGCCTCCGGTGATAAGGTGCGTTTCCGCTCGGCAGGGCTGCGGCAGCACCACTGCCGCTGGTGCGGCGCGGCGGTCTGCGGCACGTGCTCGCCGCACCGGCTGCCGCTGCCCGTAATGGGGTTCGAGTTCCCGCAGCGCGTCTGCACCGTCTGCTACGACACGCTGCGCCACGAGCCGTGAGTTATTTTTTTAAGCGGGAAAGTGGGAAGCGAGCCGACGGTTCGCTTAATATTAAGTGATCACCGTCGCTCATAGATATTTGCGACACGCGTAAGGTTGTGTTTAATAAAGTGGGCCCCGGATACCTCACTCACCAGACGAAACGCAGAAGTTATCCTTCACGCCGGTCTTCGCTGTGAGGTCGTGGTCTTCTCCGGACGAGCCTTGCCTTGCCACAGTAATAGCTAGTCTGAGTGTATCGGCATACAGAAACAAAAGAAACGATATGCCTGGCCTCGCCACAGTCAAAGCTGGTCTGAGTGTATCGGCGTAAGAAAACCAAAAAAAAAACGATAATTCAAATAAGAACAGTAACGGTCAGTTTCAATCAATATTCTATCTCCAGATAGATTTTAGGTATTTGAAGTTAGCTAATACTTACGTCAACTTATCTCCACCAACCAAATCTATCGGTGGATATTGAAACCGCCCGTTACAGCGAGTTGTTTTAATATGTACGATCCGTTCGCATGCTGCCACCCAGACGCGAGTCGCTGGCGTCGTTCCACGACATGAAGCACGCGGTCGCCTCGCTGTACGTGGACGAGGCGACGGGCCGCATGTGCACCGCGGGCAAGGACCGCGTCATCAAGGTGTGGGACGTCAGCGCTCTGCTCGCCCCCGCGCCCAAGCCCGGCACGAGCGATCAGTAGCAGCAGCGAACTCGACCCTGTCGCCGCGGCGCAAAGTCCAAATTCGCTCGCCGCCCGGAAGCAGCCTGGCATCAGCGACCAGTAGCATCGCGAATTCGTCTCTGTCGCCGCGGCGCAAAGTCCAAATTCGCTCGCCGCCCGGAAGCAGCCCGGCATCAGCGAACAGTAGCGCCGCGAACTCGACCCTATCGCCGCGGCGCAAAGTCCAAATTCGCTCGCTGTACTGGAGCAGCCCGGCATTAGCGACCAGTAGCGCCGCGAACTCGACCCTATCGCCGCGGCGCAAAGTCCAAATTCGCTCACTGTACTGGAGCAGCCCGGCATTAGCGACCAGTAGCGCCGCGAACTCGACCCTATCGCCGCGGCGCAAAGTCCAAATTCGCTCGCTGTACTGGAGCAGCCCGGCATTAGCGACCAGTAGCGCCGCGAACTCGACCCTATCGCCGCGGCGCAAAGTCCAAATTCGCTCGCTGTACTGGAGCAGCCCGGCATTAGCGACCAGTAGCGCCGTGATTTCGACTCTATCACCGCGGCGCAAAATTCAAACTCGCCGCAGGTCTAGCCACACTGTGCAGTGGAGCGTAACGCCCCGGTTAAGTTGTAACAACACTGGCGCGGTTCTGAACCGAATCGCGAGCGGAACGGTCGTGTGATACGCATCTTTAGCACAGTGTGTCGCCACCGTTTTTCGGCTGATCTTGTCGCTGGACTGTAATCTATATTTCGAACTAAATTATGTTGTTTAACATAGATAATTAATTAAAAATGGATTTTGTATTATTTAACGCTTTCGGATGTACTAGTTGAAGGTTTTATTTATCGGATACGGCAAATTTTCGCGAAAGACCGTTCGTTTTACGTCCTTTAATATGTGCGTTATTAAAAATGTCGATAATATTAAAATGTATATTTGATATTGCTCATTTAAAACGGTGTGCTAAAATACTTAATCATTTCAACAGATGTTGGTATTATCAAATGTTTTAACATCAATTAATGTTTAAAATATTTGGTAATACCAACATCTGTATAGAATATGTTTGATGTATGCAGATTATTCTAATGATACCGACAATATTTTATCAAAGCAACACAAAGCTCGGGTTTATTATATGTTGAGTATTCTTACGGCAAAATAGTTATTAATTCCATATTTTCATTCTTGGTTCAAAATACATATAATGTAATTTTCATGGTCCAACGAAACTTTTCTTTAATTTTAATTTTATTCTTCTATTATAAGGTAAGACTGAACCATTCAGGTTAATAAATAATAAAAATGGAAGTAATCTTTAATATGAGTCGTGTAAACAGAAGTTGTTAAAATAGATGTTATTGATTCAAAGTAGATGAAATGTGTTCCAAACGCCTATCTACTTATGTGATCTCGCTGGTACGATATGGTTGACGCTTTTATATTATTGTAATCTGTAGGTTATTGTTCAATCTATAGCTATTACCAAAAGTATTTTTCTATTATTAAGTCGGCAGCATAAGTTTCCTTTAAATAGTTGGCCCCGAAGCCTATTCAAATATAATATAATTACATACATTATGTGCGCAGGCGTCGAAACTAGCACTCATGTAAGTGAATTTCGTTGGTAAATTAAGAAAAAACAAGGTCGTTTAGTCAACAGTCACATTTTGAACTTGGAATGGATTGTCATTCGAAATAGTGTGAAAAAAAACAGCGTCTGGTAATGATAATGGTACATTCCCATTATTAACAAAAAAAATCCAACAGTCAACCGTATTGAATCAAATAGTTTACCAAAACTAGAGTCTGTTTTCTCCAAGGTCGTCGTGGTATACATAACTTTCCTAACATTATTACATTTTTTGGCGTTGAATGTCAATGAACTAATTTAATTGTGTTCATAGATTGCTCTAAGACTGTCATCTTAGTGTAGGAATGTCGTTGAATTTGTTAGAAGAACGATAGCGGTGTAAGGTAGATGTTAAAATTCGTTAATGGCCTCATTCTTTACTCATGACCTTTTAGTAATGTATATAAAATATTTATTATTTGTATATTCAAAATTTGCAATACAAACATTGCAAAAATATTATGTATTCTTTTTAATATAATTTCATAAAAGACATTCGTTCTATCCCAAAATTTTTTTTCTTATTTATTAATAGTAATATATCTCGATCATAGAGATATCAAGATGAGGTTTTAAATTATTTATATTTCCATAAAAATAGTTTAGAAATCTATTTGAACGATTTATCTGTCGGGAATATAAATTTATGAATGGTATGTATGTAATTTGCTAATAGCTATTCGTTAAATCAGCATAGGTTGAAAGGTGTCAGTTTTGAATAAAAAAGAGCCTTGCGATTACAATATTAACATTTAAATTGCCCGTTGATCATGGATATAAAATTCTATTGAGTAGGTTCTGTCTCATCACATCCTTGATGGTTGATACGCAAGGTCGCGGAAATCGTGAGAGGCCTCTATACGCTTCGGGAGCTTCTAGCAAATTCTAGAATTTTAGAAAATCTTTGAGTCTTACTTTAGTTAGGAATTAAAATAAATATACTACGATGTTTTATTCTTAAATTCAACGAATGAATTAAACATTTATTTGGATGCTTGTTATACACTGACTTCCTAGCGATCTTATTTGTTTTAGTCAAATTTCAACGTTTCTTAAATTTATTGTGTATTTTCTTCTAAGGTGAGCAAAATCGAGTGAAACCTTGTAAAATTAACCAACGTTTTTATCTTCCTTTGTAGCATTATATTTTCATAATTTAAAATACCTACAGGGTGTAACGCAAATATTATGGATTATTATTCCGTTAAAAATCGTTTATCGAACATATTAATTATAATGCCAATCTCGGTACGTTCGAGATATCAAAATCTATTTTTCTATTGCCTATTAAAATATTATTAACTAATACGATGACGATATTTATTATATGACTTGTCAGTCGTTTAGTGGTAAATGGTGTAACATGTTTGAAATTATTTCATTGGGGAAAAAACAATCTTATATAACGGCAAGGTTTAGTCAAGAAATCTAATGATATACATACAAATAACTAAAACTTTCATTTTTATTTTTTTTAACCACTGTTTTTTATAGACCACGTCAAATATAATGATTTGCCTTGTTTGTGTGCCAACGCTGCACACTTCAACGTGCTTGTACTAAAGACAGTCTTATTCCTAAGTTGTTATTGCGGCTGGTTATTATTTCATTGTTTTCACTCTATTTTATAGTTTTATTTATAAAATGGAAAATGTTTTTTTAAAGAAAATTCCAACAACAACACAGCCCTTATAAAGTGTACTCAGGGAACCTTAGTCACAATACATTGAAGACATATAGGGTTTGAAAAAACAATAAAATAGTTTTTATAAAAAGCTAATATAAATATCAAAAGTTATAGTTTATTTTCTTACAATGCAGTTCGAAGACAGGCATAGGATTTAAATTTTATTTGTACGTTATACCTACGCTCTACAATTTTCGAGTTGACTGTACCAGCGAAGACTGCATTCGCAGCTTACTTTTCAGCCGCCATTAAATTTGGCGCGGCCTATATGAAAATGTATTCGTAAGAACAAATTAGCAAAACATTAAAAAAAGGCGCGCAGTGTTCTTTTGTCGCCTCTTAAGTTTTTAATTCTTTTAGCTCCTTATTTAATTGTTAACTTTTTAAAATTAGAAAGCGTAGAAAAAAATAATTTTAATGAAAAATGTTTATTAGTAATAATTGTCTTCAAAATATAATTGTTGGTTGCCAGAAGCAGAAACAAACGACTTCGACCATCCGTGTACTGCTTCCAAAAATTGTAATTTTAAATAATTTAAAATACCTTTTTTCTTTTTTTTAAAAAGTATATAGAATATAACTAAATGCGTATCTATATTGTATATTCTAATTTGTTAAGATTTAAATTTTCTTTTTCTTATTAAAAAGCATTACTTTTTCTTCGTGTTTTTTATGTGTATTTGTTCACAAATGTCACTATGGCTATTAAAATGCGAAGAATGGTAATTTTAAATCTTAAGCTATATTTAAACTGCTTATAACGTTATTTATGTCTATTAGTAGACTAATAGTAATTTTGACATTAATAACTTTACAACGTTATTAATGTCAAAATGATTCTTTAATTATTAATTTTAATGACATTAATTTATTGTCAGCTATTGTATACATCATGTTCTTACTTTACTGGCACTTAAATATTGTTAATTTTTTATTATGGTGTTAATTAAATGTTTATACGTGTTATATTTTCGGTAAATGTGAATGTCGATTAAGCATGTAAATTTAATATTTTCGTTGTTTTTTTTTTTACTTTGGGATGGAAATGTATGTTTAATGGAATAAATCACTTTAATGTTTTCAGGCTAAAATATTTTTTTTATTCACCGAGCTTAATTTGTGTTTGTAAAATAACACTGTATAAAATGTAGTAATTATAAATATATCTAGTATATGTAACATGTATCTATAATTATTATATAGATCGCTTAAAGTTTCTATGCCAATAAATAAAATGCGTAAATAATGCTTATTATTGGTCCACATTAAAACTGCACCATTATTGAACGACTTTAACAATATTTAAAGGTATTGTATATCTTTAATAAATTAATTTTATTTTATTATAAATAAACTTACTTTAGGGCCATGTTAATAACATAGAAAGTACTTTAAAAAATGTCATTTAGATGTGTCTTGATTGTAAAATGAAGCTGTGTATTATTTACACTACAACTAAAATTTACCGATTCCCCCGAATTTACGAATCAAAAGTTCTGAAGGTAATACGATACCGAACAACACAATTTCAATGTGCGTTGTACATTTTAACTCTTATTTGATTGGCGAGGAGGATAGCCCAGATAAACTTAATGCAAATAATACTCAATAAGTCAATTCTTTTATTTATATTAATTTCTTTTATTTACAAGTCAAAACTTGTATCTATAATTTGCTATCAAAAAATTTTAAAGCACTGGCACATTTTTCTGCAGTCTGCGTGTCTCGGGGCGGAAGTTCCGCTTGCATTTGACTTGTTTTTTGTTGCGTCTGACCGTAATGAACTTTAAAGTCTTGAGAAAAAACCCGACGTCGCTAATGTTAGTAAATCGAGTTGTTACTACTATGCACTACAAACTAAAACATAAATATGCACAATTGCAATAAACGAATGGAGGTAGATATTGTTAGCTTAATTACATACATCGCTTTATTACGCCGAAATCAGATCGTTCTGACGTGCATCGTTAATTCGGTATAAGTTAAACAGAACTGGCGCTGCGGAAATATCGGTGATTCACAGCCTTTGGCATCAGGTACGTCGTGTTTCGTTACGAAAATCCCCCGCGGGTCCATCACCGCCACACCCATGGCTTCCACGAGCAGTCAGGAGGTAGCCGAGTCGCTTTCATCCCGGGCACGAGTACTGGCTCTTTGACACGCACACTTGACCGTTGAACACTTGGCCCGTCGGGCAGTTGAGGTAGGTCCTCGTGCCGAGCACGCAGAAGTAGTAAGCCTTGCACTCCGTCCCCTGCTGGACGAAGAAGCCGTCCCGTTCGCAATTTTTGCCGCCATTTTCGACGATGCCCTTCCTGTGGGCGCCGCACTCGTGGTGCGATGGCTCGACGCACGCGTGCCCGTCGAAGATTTTCCCGCCAAGGCACGACAGTGTGGCCAGCCGATCGCCTCCCTGGCAGTAGAAATATCTGGAAACGAATAAAGTATTCGTTAGTGTAATTTTGGCATGTAATTAATATTTAAATATGTAGAAAATGTAATGTAATCAATATCTGTTACAGTAGGGACTAAATTAGGAATTTAAAATTTTGTGGTTTTTTCCTGTCGGGGATTTTAGTTGAATAATCACATCTATTACCGATGACCGAGATTTTTTTAAACTGTATTAAGTAATTTATGTATATAAGACACACTTGGTATTATATACAACACACTCGACAATAAGCGATAATTATTGACGAGTGTGTTGTTCTTCATTTTCTTGATTCTTGAATGATAATAGAAACAAAAGTATTATAAATTACAGTCACTCACCTATGACAACTGGTCTCTATCTCGGCGTGGTACCCGTCGGCCATTCCTGTACAGGAATAGTCCTCTGCGGGGCAGAGGTCTGGTCTTGATGGAACGCAGTTCTCTCCGTCGAACACGTAGCCGACGGCGCACGCATACACGGCCTTCTCACCCCCGATGCAGGCATAATACCCGCGGCACCCTGTGTCGACCGCTCGGTAGCGACCGTCCGGCCGTCCGTAACATGAGTCGCGGTCCAGACTGGGGCACAGGTACCGGGCCGCGGGCGAACATCGCGCACCATCGTAAATGAGCCCGTTGGGACACTTCAACTCCGTTCTCAGCGAGCCTTCGCAATGGTAGTACTTCGTGCAGTTAGATTCGAGGTCCTGGTAGGTTCCACTCGGCATGCCTTCGCACGTTTGCGACTCGACCGGCCCTTCGCACGAGAACACCTTCGGCGGAACACACTTGGAGCCGTCGAACACCAAGTCGGAATCACACGCGCCGCGCGCGACCACTCTTTCTCGGCGGCACTCGAACCAGGACTTGCAGTCGCGCCAATCGCGGTACCGCCCGTCCTGGCGGTTGAAGCAGGGGCTGCGGGCAGGGGGAGGGCAGTACGCGCGCGCCACCGGCTCGCAGCCGCCGTTCGAGAACAGCAGGCCCGGCTCGCACACCCCCCTTCGGATGACTCGTCGCGATTCGCAGACGAAGTATTCACGGCACCCCGTCGAGCGGTCCGCGTAAGCGCCGTCGGGGGCCTGCTGGCACAGGGACGAGCACACCTCGTCGGAGCAGAAGTCGGCGTCGCCGGCCGGCAAGGGGATCGCGGCGGCGCGGGGCGGCGGGCAGGTGGCCGCGCAGGTGCCACCCGGGCAGGAGGCGACCGAGCGGAGTTGGGCGCCTCGGCAGCGCAGCGTGCGCCGGCACTCGTGCGACGAGTCTGGATAGTCGCCGTCGGGTAGGCCGGCACACAGCGGCTCGTAGCAGGTGCCGGCGCCGCGCGAACACGCCTGCCGGTCCAGGTCGAACCACGAGCCCGAGGGGCACGTGTGGTCGACCGCCGTGCCGTTCTCACAGCGGTAGTATTGGCGACACGCCGTCCCGGGCGTCGCGTACGCCATCGCGTCGTCGGCGATGCACACGCGCCGGATGCACGGCCTGCGGCGCCGCGGCACGCAAGCACCCGCCGCCTCGCTGAACACCCGCCCCGCGCGGCAGGCGTATCTTTTGCGCACAACGCCTGACGCACACCGCACGTACTCCTTGCATTCCGTATCGTAGTCCGCGTACAGGCCGTCTTGAGTGCACACAACCGATTCTCCGTCTGAAAAGGGCAATCGGCAACTCAACAGGTGTTCGATTCGAACATGCACACGGGTTTCGAAGCCGCACACACTTCTCGCTCGCAATCTAAAACCGAATGAGTCATCGCTGCGTGTGATCGTTATTTCGTCTCAATATGGAATATTTGAATGTAAAAATAAAATGCACGTAAGTAGTTTTGCAACGAATGCTCTTGCGTAAACGGTAACATTTACGGAGACGGTCATGAATATGTAAAGCGTCGTATCGGGCGATGACGGAGCTGATGGCTGAGGGCAGGGTGATTTCGCAATACTTACGGGCGCGGTGTGCGGTGGTCGCCAGCGCGAGGAGGGCGCACAGCGCGCAAAGGAGAGCGTGCGCGCGCGCAGACATGTCGGCTGCGACTGAGCGAGCCGAGCGGGCGGGACACGCACCGGTGACGCAGCGTCCGCGGCCTCAGGGTTCCTTGACATTCGCACGCCCCCGGCGTAACTTGATCCCTGTGGTGGCCCGGATGCAGCCTCCGCGTTAGGAATCTAGACACGCCTTGTTTCGCCAAGCGCCCACCGTAGCTCGGGTGAAAACGACCGCCGATACGCAGGCGGCCGTGAACTTTATCATCGCAGTAAATAAAACACGCTGGGGCAACGAGAGTCGCAGAATGAATGAGAACGCTTCACGCGAGTGAACAGGTTAGGTGTGCGCCTCACTACTCCACTCATCTAGTTCTTGAAGTAAGGTAGTAATAATGGTCGTTTTTCTCAAATATTCCTTCCATATTCAAGTACCCGATTCGCTTTTATAACGAAATGGAAAGAAATTTAATCCGGTTGTACATTGCCATTGAGTGACTTTAACCACGCATTGCAACTAACGGACGAGGCGGTTGCGATTGTCAGATAGTTTTTTTTTATTTTCATGTAGAGAATACCTCAATTAGAATTCCGCTGGCGTGTTCGTGGGAACCTTTGAAAAGAGGAATAAAAAAAGAAGAAAAAACTAAACATATTAAAGCCAATGTATTACTAGGTATTGAGATGGAATTTCCGAGAATCGATAATGATGCGTTTATTGATAACACATTAATCATTATTACATTGTAAATACTGACTATTCATACTAGATTTTTATGTTAGATAGATCGATGCTTTAAGATCAATAAGAATCTGATATATGTAGTGCGAATACAACAATAAGAATTTCGTGTTAAATAAAAACGTTCCGTGTCCGTTCTTATTCGTCTTAAAGTTTTTTATTGTCTTCATTGAGGCTCTCTGATTCGTGTTTTGGGTTAAATCGTTTTGTAGACGCCGAATAAGTAGTTCGAATCGACGAATCCTCGTCGTATACGTAAGATGAGACAGCATCGCGATTAGTTCCGCATCCCGTCTCCCTTAGATGGTTACAAATCAATTCATGTGGGAATGTGTTTACGGAGATGACTTATCTTAAATGCATTCCACACTAGTGGAATCATTGCTCATTACTCTAGAACAACAGACTGTACGAATGTAACGTTAGTAATTGTTTTGATGGTAAAACTGTAATGTAATGAGGAGTGGACTAGTTAACGCCGTTTTAAGTTTCGATACGGTAAGACGTGGGATCTAATCCGACTCAAGAAACATTTACATGTAAACAAATGTATGATTTGAGTTCAACACACAGTAACGAGATGTAAATGTTGAATGCAATATCTATAAAACAGAATGAAAATATATATAACTGATAATTCCCTTGGATTCATATTATTCTTATTACTCTACTTTGTTTGTCTGATACATATTCGTAGTTGGAAGATTTGCAACTATACAATGAATTTAGCGACCGGACCATAACTTAATGTAAACGTAAACTACACATAGTATAGTTTACATTTGGTTATACCAAGTTATAGTTCAATCCGATATGAAGGGAAAAGTCGGTGAAAAGGTCATAGTTATAAAATTTATATTTTTCAAGAACGCTTTATTCTTAGAAAACTATCATTGATCAATCCACTAAGTTCCGCAGGTAAAGGCGTTCAAGTACTGGATATTGATCAAATGTTGGCATTTACGTAACGCGATATTTGTATGAGTCAAATATGAAGGCAATCGGATCGAATTTTTAAAAGCGATAAAAAATCAATTATACCTTGTAGATGAAGTAAATAAAATTGAGAATTTTGTGGGGATTCCCGATGTCGGGAAAACCATAGTGGAGTTAACCTCTTTACTAAGTACGTAGAAAGGTCAGTACTAATCGATTTGTCATCATCAAAACGTTTAATGATCTACAGAAAAGTGCTTTCAGAAGTTAATTTGGTATCAAGACGTACAATGTGACTGTAAAATGTAAAGGCTGCACAAAGAGCACAAATCATGAAAGACCACGAAGAGAGAATCACGGTCCTAACCGCTAATTCGTATCTGAGACCTAAAAACAAGTCTAAATGGTCGCAATGGCCGGTTTTAATATTCTATCTACAGATAGATTTGGTTACTGGCGATAGGTATTTGACATTAGCTCTTTATTATTTACGTCAAAATTTTATTTCCAGTAACCATATCTACATATATATATGTAGATAGAACATAGAACATAGAAACCGCCCGTGAGCCAACCCTCGCGATTTAAATGTGGGAAGGAAGAGAAAGACAAAAGCAGTTAATGTTTCCAAAGACAAATTTGGAAGGTCATGTGTTACAAAATTACAACACCTCCATTTCCTTGTACGTTGTAGACTTCTCCATTATGTGTAAGTGAAACTTCTAAGATTATTTATGTAAATTAACTGTTTCTAAATATTATGTAATGCTTTAACTGTGGTAGAGAGGCACTTTTCTGTTGCGCGAATAATCAGAATCGTCGGAGGACGTACCACGACCTCACAGAAGACTGGGGGCGTGAAGTGAAAGTACAATAATTTCGTGTTTCGTCTGGCGAGCGAGGTAGCCGGAGCCCACTTTTTAAAAGGTTGTCAACGCATCTACAAATGTTTCGGTGTAGCAGATGTCCATGGGCGGCGTTATTCATTTAGCATCAGGTGCACCGACTGGTGGCTTGGCAACTTTTCACATAAAATAAAAAAAACGTAGTTAAATTTGAACATAGTACATTTTGTAAGTTAGGTATACCATTAAAAATCCTTCTTATTTTGCTACACTCAACAATGGTTCTGATACAAAAATGATTATCTAGATAGTTGTAGTGGTTTTATCTAGATAGTTGGTGAGCTAACCTTAATTATACAAATAGCATGATTAACCTGGGGTGAATACAGATTAACCTTCACCTTGAATATGATACAGGACTAGCCCTAGTAACGGTTAATCAAAAAGTCGTGAGCATATGAGCCGCCAGGCGTGCTCGCGTGCGTAAAACACTAAGTACGGCCGGATAAACCATCAAGCTTTGTACAAGGTCGTTCAACTCACGTTACGAGTAATGACAGGCGTTTAGACTAAGTTCAAAACATTGTGGTCTTATTTTTTTTTATTGACAAGCTCAAGTTATAGTCACTGACCAACTGATTGTCTACCATTGAAAGTTTTTACGGTACATTGAAATGCGGATATATATTACTCTGTTACGGTTATTTTTTTTTAATAAATTACCGTACCATATTGTTACGTTTTTATGTTATATAAACGTAAGGTTGTACATAAATTCAGAATTTATTGGGTTTTTACAGTATTTGAATTTTTAAGGATTTTTTAAAATATATTTCCGTTATTGGTTCTACGAGCTATATGGCCGGCCCATCGCCACGTCATCTTGCTAATCTTCTCAGATATGTCGCTTACTTTGGTTCCACTAAGGATGACTTCGTTCCGAAATCTATCACGCAGAGAAATACCGAGCATAGCTCGCCGAGTGACTTTGAGCTTCACTGAAGGACCACGTCTCGGTTACGTTGGTCATCACTGGCAACACACATTGATTGAAGACTTGTCTTCAAACATCGAGAGATATTAGACGAGAAGATATGCCGAACTTTCCCGTAGTAACTTAGGCATAACTTTATGGGAAAGAAAAAAGAAAGGTTCTTGAGTGGCAGCTTCGTACTGTGGGACGACGCCAGACTAGATGGAGTGACGACCTGTGCAAATGTGCGGGAAGTCGATGGATGCAGGTGGCTCAGGATCGTGCTCAGTGGCAGCCTATAACAGTAGACTCAAACAGACTAAAATGATGATGATGATGATATTTCTGTTGGATGCAGGAATGTAATCAGCCTCTAAATCTTTAAGTAAACATACGGTATATGCGTTTTAGGGTTATATAAGTGACAAGCACCAAGATTTTTGTCGTTTTTGCATTCAGTTTACGGACCAGTTCAGTTGTAAGGCTTGATAAGACATATCTATAGGTTTATAGTCGATCCCAGATCCGCTTATATTGGCGAGCATTTCAATGTGCTTGTATTTATCTGCTCGTTCTCGAATATCTTTTTCCATAGTTATCGGTACTGGCAAAACAAACAAAAATCATACATCTAGCCAACTAGAAATCAAAAATCATACTTCCCATCAACCTCAATTATTTTTTTTTCTTTTAAAAATACCAATCACGTTATTCCGCTCGGAAAATTAGACTTCAGCTGAACCTGACCTCCTGTCAGATCTATCGCGAAACGGAGCAGATCCTGAAAAGCTATCTCATGAAGGCGTTCTACAAGGCTTTTTTTAAAGTAAAAAGTTGGCAAGCGAGCACCTGTGGCGGTTCACCTGATCCCAGGAGTTGCGGGGAACGCAGGTATTGTCCAAACGCCATCGGATATTGGGAGCAGAGGCACCCCAATGCCGGCCTAAGAATCGTGGAGGTTATGCGTCCTGTCCGCAAGAGGTGGCTATACAGGCAATATGGCATCCACACCTATCGTGCGACGCGGTTCTCTCGGGACATAGTAGTTCCGGGAGGTATCGGTTTCGCGCGGCGAGGAGGTTTTTAGTGTTTACCTCGTGATAGTTTCACGCGCTCGAAGGCAATGATGAATGACGCTTCTCTTTCTTTTGTGTTTATTGAAGTGATTATTATTTTTATCATTTCGAGGGCGTGCAATGTTTTCTGGCCCTGTTGGATCCAGTAAAATTTTATAACATAACCACAGTGATCTAACGAGACAGCAGACGTCAATAACATACGTAGTAAAAGTAAATACATGTAACATCCCCAAAATACTACATTTCTTAATAATTGTTACATAATTATGAAAATTATTGGAGTAGAGAATGAGATTATCCCAAACTGTAGTCCATCGTAATTTATTCATTAAAAATATTTATAAATTGATGAGGCGTTTTAAAGGCGATGTGTTTAAACTGTATATATGAGAAATGATTTAGATTAAAAATAAATTACACTAAATATAAAATAAAACCAAATATCACCTAAACTTGATATAGTAT